GGTGGGGCTAGATGAATCACCAGTTGGAATTAAGATTGCTGGGAGAAATATCAACAACCTCAGATATGCAGATGATACCACTCTAACAGCAGAAAGTGAAGAAGAGCTAAAGAGCCTCTTGATGCGGGTGAAGGAGGAGAGTGCAAAAATTGGCTTGAAACTCAACATTAAGAAAACTAAGATCATGGCATCCAGTCCTCTCACTTCCTGGCAAACATATGGGGAAGAAATGGAGGTAGTGACAGATTTCATTTTCCTGGGCTCCAAGATCACCGCAGATGGGGACTGCAGCCAAGAAATTAAAAGATGCTCCTGGGGAGGAAAGCTATGGCAAATCTAGACAGCATACTAAAAAGCAGAGACATCACCCTTCCAACAAAAGTGCGTATAGTCAAGGCTATGGTTTTCCCAGTGGCAATGTATGGCTGTGAAAGTTGGACCATAAGGAAAGCTGAGCACAGAAGAATTGAGGCCTTTGAATTGTGGTGCTGCAGGAGACTCCTGCTAGTCCCTTGGACCGCAAGGTGATCAAACCGGTCAGTCCTAGAGGAGATCAACCGTGACTGCTCTTTAGAAGGCCAGATGCTGAAGATGCAACTCAAATACTTTGGCCACCTAATGAGAAGGAAGGACTCCCTGGAGAAGAGCCTAATCCTGGGGACAACTGACGGCAAAAGAAGAAGGGGACGGCAGAGGATGAGGTGGCTGGATGGAGTCACTGGAGGATGTGGTCGCGATGGGTCAGACACGACTTCGCAACTAGCAACAACAGCAGACACGATTGCCATGTGACTGGAGAAGGCTTTTCCGTATTAGAGGTAAGGAGGTCCTGCGCCTGGCAGAAGTGGAAAAGAACGATCAGTAGTCTTTGAGATCTTCCGAGTTGCTGCCCAATTTCCTCAACCACCTCGCAGGTGAATCACGCCGCTGCGCAGCCTCAAACGCCCGAAGCTTGAGCCAAAACGAAGCGGCGGCAAGCCCTACCTAGCAACAAGCTTGCTCGGTTGACCCGGGAGGAGGAAGGCGGGGCGCCACGCTCGCCCGACGTCACGTGGCCGCCCGCCCCCGCCCCCATGGCGCAAGCTGCGCCATGTTGTTTTTTCTCCCAAGGTCCCTCCCCTGCTCTCCCGCCTGCCCCCAGCAAGCAGCGGCGGTCGCGGGTGGCTCCCAGGCCAGTTCTCGTTCGTCCCTTCTCGGTACGTTTCTGGCTCGGGGCGGGCGGAAAGAAGTGGTGCGGGTAGTTGTGAGTGTCAGCGCCGCGGCGAAGGAAGCGGCTCGACTTGGCCGCCGACGGCCGGCAGTCGGCTTTTCGGTCCCCGCTGCGGTGTGCGCGCTGCGGCCAGGCTGGAGGGCGATGCAGAGATGCTACGTCCTCGCCTCCTTTCTGTGCTGCTGTTGCCTTTTCCGTTGGTTTATTCACCTTTCCTTGGTGGGGCCGGTTGGCTCTTGGCCTTTCCTTGTCGCAGAAGGGAGGACCTAAAGTAAATGGGACTTGCAGGCGAACTTGGGCAAAGCCCGCCCGCTTGCTCAGGCTGCGCTCCTGAATGGGCGAAGGTTTTCCTCAGTTGGAGCATACTTATAAATCCGTTGCAGAGCTGGAGCACTTGAGAAATTGTTTTTCGGTGGGACTGGAAAGGGAGAAATCCCTCGTGGTGCTCTAGCCCCACGTAATTCCGAGATATTTCTGACTTCCTGTCTGTACGTTGAGAAACTTCTCTCGTGTAGGGAACTTGAGGCTCAGAATTGCTACTCTGCCTGCCTGTTTTCCTGCTTAATTTGGAAGTGTAGCGTGGTTACAGATCCCGTGATGCTGAGACAGACGGTGGTTCATTTGAGAAATAGCTTCTCTATACTCAGCTGGCACATGATCAATGCATCTCCAGGGCCCTTTCTCAGAAATTATTAAAGTTACTGTTCTGTTAGAGCACAGCTCCACTGCTTATGTATGCCACCTTTGTCTTCTTCCTTTTTTTAACATTTTTCATTAGAAAAGTTCCTTCCCATTTGAAAATAAATTCTCTTCCTTATTTATGGGCAAATGAAGTCGAACAAGCATATTTCTAGATACCTGTGCAATTACGTGAGAAAAAGAGCTTGAGTCTAAACTGTGCAGAAAAAATAACTGCTTGGCTGATTCTAGTGTTGAGCATTTTTTTCAGTGTTCCTGTTATTTGGCAGAACAGTAAAATGTAGACTGTCTCCACAACAAGGATAAGAGTTTTGAAACATTCTGAATATTGCATAAAAGTAGTTCTTGATTGCTTTGGAAAGCCAACCGATCTGAAAGAGAAGTGTTGTGGTATGTAAAGGACTGTCATGAGTTTAATGTAAAAATCTTGAGGATATTAATCTGGCCTTACATTTCTGCAGCCCTGTTTGCTTGTTGCAGATTCATGTTGCAGTCATACGGTTAGGAAGGGGGAGGTCCTGTAAATAGTTCATTATTTCAAAACGTCTAATGAAGGAGAGTCCACCACTTTTCCTGGGCCAGTTAGTCTGTTACTTCATTGTGTCTACTAATGCACTTCCTTATACTTAAACTAAACATACTGTAAGTGCAACTTTAGTCCATGATTGAAGAGAAGTTCTTATATGTGTGCCAACTTCTAAAATCTCTGAAGAAATTAAGCTGTGTCTTAATTATTTCCCACCACTACAAAGCATGAAAGCACTCATGCTGAGATGGGTTGCAGAAATGCCATGAGTTTGACAGATATATAGCTGAAGCCTTCATGTTAGTGCAGAGTGATACAGTTATGGCACAGAACCAGGACCAAGTGTCTGGTTTTTTGGGCACCTGGCATTTTGATTTGCATGCTTAAGAATGATGGCTAGAGCTGGAATCTGGAAGAAATTTGAGCACTTCCTGGTCTACGTAATAGGATGTTCTGACAAGTGAATAGATCTGTGTCTTCCAATGTAATATCACCAATTTGCATCAATTATGTCCAGCCATTATTCATGCTGCTTTAAATTCCTGCCATCTTCCACCCATTGGACTGATGGTGAATAACACAATTAAAAATAAACAAAAATAGGTAAAATGCTAAAATTGTTTTAATGAACTCTACCTCAAAAATATGATCCATATAAAATGGTCTTGTACATTTAAAAAACAAGACACTTAGGCCTTTAGTGAAACTCTTGAGGAACATGGCCTGGTGTGTGAGGACCAGTGTAGTAGTTGGAGTGTTGGACTGCTGGGATCCAGTGAATCCAGGTTCTAGTTCCCTCTTGACCACAAAGCTCATTGGGTGGCTTGGGCCAGTTACAGATACAGTTACAGAAAAACAGAGTTGTTATGAAGATGAGATTGAGAGGAGAAACCAGATTATGTAAAATGCTTTGAAAAGTAAAAAAGGAATATAAACCGAATAAATACAGGACTCATACATCAAGTTCTATTAAATCAAATAAGTTCTATTTGATTTAAGTAGTTCTTGAGGACAAAAAAGAGCTGATGTTAATTTTCTATAGTCAGTGACTGAGCAACTCCAGCTGTCAAGAACTGTGCATGCGTGCATGTGTGTTTTCCAGTTCTAATATATGTTCCTAGCTGGCCATGGATTCTGCGATGGCATACAGACTGAAACTTCCATGTGTTTCTAAGCTCTCCTGGACATGAGAGGTGAGATCTACAGCCTGGAAAGTTCTGTAGAGCCAGCTTTACTCTAGAAATTAAGATTGTGGCTTTAAGCTTTAAATCAGCATTATCTAATTCCATTCAGTTGTTTGTCTGGAAACTACAGCTGATAGAGAATACAACAGCATTTTCTTGATGGCACTTGGAAGGCACAGATTTATACAATCAGTATTCCTGGATATTGGCCACTTCACCATTTTATTTAAATACTAGCCATATTTGGTAACCATAGGCAATAAGGAATAAGTGAGTGAAATGGTGGAGGAAGAATGGAGTGCTCTGGATCAACTTGGTTTTCAAAATATATGCAGTCTAGCTCCTGCATGAGAAATGACTCTTCTTTTTGTCCCTCTTCTGCTAGGATTCAGTGGACTAGTAGAAGTATCTGCAAGATAATTGCAAGAGAGGGGTTGTTTACAAGGCTGGATATTTGTTAATTTCCTGGCCATTTCAATATATTTGTTTTACTTACAAAGCCTTATATAGGCTCAGTCTGGTATATATTAGAGATTAGTGCAGTTCCACCCTACCAAGCCTGCAGGAATGTGATACATGATTGCCTTGGTACCAACTCCCTATAGATCTGTCTCATGCCTAATCTGCAAACATTCAGAGAAGACTTCGAAGTTTTCATGGCAGCTGGTCCTTTTGTGATTATTTTTTAATGTGCAAGGGGTTTAACTTGTGACTTACTTTAGTGAGCAGCGTCATGACATAGCTCTGTTATGGCATGTTGTGGGTGGTAGTAGGTAATCCAGCCTCTGAGAACGGCAACAGTTTTGAGTGGAAAAACTTGATTAGGACGGTAGTAGAGCCTTGAGGAATTACATTGCCTCTAAACTCTATTTGACTTTGAGCAGCAGCAGAAACCAAGGCAAGAAAGACATCATGTTTTGATGCCAAAGCAGTTCCCAAGAAAGAACTTCCTGTCAGAGCAATACAACAGTGGAACTACCTGCCCAGAGAGGTGGTGGGCTGTCCTACAGTAGAGACATTCAAAAAGAACCTGGACAGCCCTCTGAGTGGGATGGTGTAACTTGGCATCCTGCGACAGCAGGGGGTTGGACCCGATGGCCTTCATGGCCCCTTCCGACTCTGCTATTCTATTATTCTTCCGAAGAAGGCCCTCTGCAGATAGAAAAATCTTTTTACCTACTCCCCTCACTTCAGGAATGTGCCAGGCCATATAGTATATACTGCAGCCTTTTTCAGCCTGGTATTCTCCGGATGTTTTGGCCATTGACTTATACAATTCTTGACCATTTAGAATGCTGTCACTATCTGATGGGAGTTGTAGTTCAAAACATTGGGGAGGGGAACAGGTTGTAGAAAGCTGATAGCACTGATAAAACATATATACATGGCAGACTGCACATGGGTTTATTGCCATGGGCTGTGCAAAACAAGCTGCAGTTACAATACAAATTATGAAATACAGAAAATACAAAATCAGCCTACCAAATCCTCACATGGCATTGTATTGTTCTTTAGCAGCGTTTACTCACCTTCCAAAGTTTTGTAAAGACTTGATAATCAGAACACAGACTGAGTTCATTTTCCATAACTTATCTATTATTACAGCAATTGATATGTTGATATTTTCTGGTATTCTGAAAAGATGCATGTGTAAAAGTGCCTTTATATAGCTAAGACAATTAATTGTTAGGGTATAAATTTTGCATTTCAGTGGCAAATTTGATTCACATAACATTTTAAGGAGGTTATACATTTTAGACAAATAATACTATTACAGTTGGCTTGGTTTAGATATGACAATATTCTTAAGAAGATAAGGTAATTCTAATGAATTTTGCCTTGTTGGGAGAGAGGAAGCATGCTGTTGCATGTTACTCAATTGCTCCTGCTTGACTCCTGTCAGCAAAAATGGCTAAACCAGGAAGCCTTCTTTCCTGGTTTGTTTAACATTACATAAGAAATGAGACCTGTGGTTTTTTCCCCCTTTCCTAACAATCTAAAATCATAAGCCAGCCTCAAATGTGTAATGCTGTCTTAAGTTTCATGTTTCATTTAAATGAGGTTGTAGGGAAAATGGTATTATATTTTTTTAAAGGTGATTTGTTATTTTCTTTATATCCATCTTTCACTTTGTGTGCTTCTTCCCACACAAAATCTCTATATGTATTGCCGAAATGATTGAGTAACTAACTGTGCAGTCAAGGCAACATAGTTGGCTTAATACATTTCCTGAAGTAAGTTCTCAAACTGGAAAAAGCAGATCCTCATAAAATTCACTGATCCTTTTTTGTTCACACACGACTCTGCTATTGTTCTTTTTCCACACCCCCACATAACTAGTGTATAGTGATGGCATATCTTATGTTGTACACTTATATTTAAACTAGTTTAAAAGGAAGTACTCAAAAGGTTTTACTTCATCAAAAAGGAATTGCTTATGATTCAACTTAACATATGGTTATATAATAATCCTGTTTACCATATCTTCTTGGTATAATTAATTTGGCTGTGAATGCTTTCTGTAGAATGTAAGATGAACTTTGTATCATGATAAAAATATTTAATTGATTGTAAAATGCATGGCTATAACACGTCCAGTAGTAACACATTTTTTCTTGTTTGTAGGTATATTATTATCATGAATTACACTGAACAGTAAAGGTAAATTATTTTGATTAAATGTTTCATGTGTTAGTAATGTTAAAATTTTAAAAGCATAAGAATGAGAGTAAGGCATCTACTAGAAAACATAAATGTGGTTCTGAACCACTAAATTTTGATAATATATATAGATGTACAGATTTTAAAAAGTGGTAATGAAAGCATAGCTGATGATCCAAATCTAAAAACTGTGTTGCTATCAATGCTGAAGGGACCTTTTAGATTAATTTTATTTCAATTATTTATATCCTGCTTTTTCTGGAGAAAAGTCAAAATGTATTAAATTTATAAAAAAAAATCACAGACATTTCAATATCAGTTGTGTTTCCATGACTGAGTTTACACAGTCTCTCAAGCTGCATGGCAAATCTCTTCTGAAACTAAAGGAAAACTTAAAAGTGGTTTGTGGTAACACATGGAAATCCTCCACTGAAAGAGAGAGAGAGGAAAGTAATCCAATTGGTATGCTCAAAATGGGGCTTTAGACCTTAGCATAGGATTTGGATATAAAAAATAATAGATGATACATAGCTACAAGTGCTTGCAAAATAATTCATGCATGGCTGTAATATGTAGCAGTTTTCTTGTCTTTGCATCTCAGAGTTTTACAAGCAGATGATCATTTTTTGATTTATTCTTGTGTTAACAGTCAGATGCAAAGTAGGGTGGGAGGTCACATTGTACACGTGGAAGAGTACAGCTGCATTTCTTGAAAATGGAGGACTAGATGACTTCCATGAATAAGTATAAATGTGGCTTTCATTACAGGAAGTAACCAGTAACAACAGAATCAGCATGATTAAGCTGGTAATATGCTAAGATTACAAATTAAAAATGTAATATCTTTTTCAATAAATAAAAATGTATTGGCATTGACATGCTCTGGAATGTCAAGTTCACTAGAGCTATCCATTACTTTATGACTCCACAATTTGGGACAAAACTCCTTGACACCTGCTGGATTGAAGTGTCCAATTTTGGAGGCTTCTGAGAATGCTGTGTTCTATTGGGCTGATGCCAGCAGGGCAAGAGGATAACAGAGATGATTTCACTTTTCCATCCTCCTTTAAAACCTTTTCCTCTAGATGGGCTTCTGAGCCAATTCAGAGGAGGTGTGCTGCTGTGGTGGGGTCAGGACTGAAATTTGTCATAGGATTTTGCATAGACTAGCCATTCCTCTCCCTGCCTGAACACCTGTTTGACCTGTAAAAGGTAATCTGAGGCTACTTTTACAGTCTTGCAAAGCAGGTAGCATAGTTGTCTTCACCAAGGGGCAAGGGGAGAACCCCTGCCAAAGTTGTAGCTGTCGTCTCTAGGATGCTTTCCAGGACCTACATGTTTTGACCATAAATAAACATTTCCAATATGGTGAAGGGCTTTTTATTATTTGAAGGGTTACTTTGCTGAGTAATGTTGCAAACAATGGGAGGTTTGGGAGTGGAACACATCATTCCCTTAGTTTAGTTCATGCCTCTCTAATGGAACATTGACTCATGTAAGTAAATGTGCCTTATGGAAAGCTGTAATGGGACACTTCAAAAATAAATAGAACACTGAAATGATGTCAATGCACAGAACTGTATTCTTTCCTTTTTTTCCAGGCATAACCTGTGTTCTTTTTGGAGCAGGGTCAGTCTTCACTAGGAAGTATTTCTTATCTAACTAATCCACTTCCTTATTGTTTTGCCTCAGGGTGGCCTACAAAAGCACCATAAAACCACCCACTGAAGCCAGTTAATAGATCAAAAATGCATGGCAATGTTTCAACGTGGAGTGTTTGTTAACAAGAGAGTAGCTGCCTAGATAGTTATTTAATGCTCCAGAGACCTTTTGATTTCCTGAATACAAGAAAATTTTTAAATATTTGAATTGACAACAAACTGTAGAGTTCTGGTTGTACTCCCTTGCATAGGAACATGATTAGAAATCAAGACCACTTAACTATTTCTACATACACATTCATATGGAGGAATCATGATCTTAAGGAATAGATATATTTGTACTGAACTACTGAGTGCTATAGAAATAAAAAATATTGTTAATATAGCAATACCCCTTTAAGTTAGAGCTTAAAAGAGCATCACTGCTTAGGTGTTTTCTTATCTATTTTATTCTGATATAGATAGTATTTGCATGACACAATAACCAACTGTAGTTTATAAGCCATGCTGGTTTGTTTACATATTTATTAAAAGTTTTTATAGCACTTACTCTTAGAATGGTTAGTGTGTTGCCCAAAACCAGCACAATTTGCAAGGAGTGATTTGTAGGGCAAGTGCAAGATAGAGAAGGGCAATCAGAGCATCTCGACAGCCTGGCCCATTCCCACTGTGCTCTAGCCAGAAAAGGGAGTTGTATATTGGAAGGCATCACCTGCCTTCACTTGGTAGAGCCATCAGTCAGTGCCAGTTTGATAGGGTGGGGGTTGGGGTTGGGGCTGCACTGGCCTTCCAAGATGAGAGCCATATAACTCGTCCTTTCCTGTTGCCTGCTCCATGCCTGAGGAGGGGCGTTCAACAGAAACCTGCTCGGAGGGTGGCACCTGTGGGTGTCATGCCTCATGGGGACTGGGACTGCTGGTTGGAGCAGTGCATTCAGCTGGGCCTCTTCCCAGGGAGATCCAACAAAACATGACTAATCCTGCAAATTTGTCCTTCTTCCCCGACTCCTGCTTGTGATTTGGGCTGGGAAGTGGGGCAGTTGCCTTTCAGCTGCCGGGCCTCCAAGCCGCAACACACTAACCATTCTGAGCAATGCGGAACAGGCATGGGAAGCCTCCCTGCTGGTTAGCCACAATGAAGCCAAGTCCCTTGGGCAAAGTGGCTAAAGCACTGCTATTTTGGCCAAGGGGCTCTAGCTGATGACAGCTGGCTGAGCAACAGGGACAGGGCACACACAGTCTCCGTGAAGTTCAGCTGCAGCATGCCACAGCTGAGCAATGGGTCACCTTGCGCTGGGATGCTGAAGCAGCTGGTGCCTCCTTGCTAACCAGTCCAGATTCTCAACCCTGCACTTCTGCCAGTGTTGCTCACATTATGCTTTCAGCCGTCTATTACAGAGGGCTATCAATTTGAATAACATGAGAAAGTTGGTCTTGCTTTTGGGATATTTACAATGATATTAAAATTACTGTTCCATTTTGTGAGTAAATTTTGGCAAGCATCTGAACTTCCTTTTTTAAATCAGTAACATTGATAACTACTATATCATTGTTGAATAGCAAGGTAAGTCAGAGATGTTTGCATAACAAATAGAAGATTGTGGATATGAACAGAATCTGTTTTATTTTGCAGAACTGGACATCAGAAAGGACCTGTTCTTGAAACAATGGCAGCAAAATCATCACTCCTTAAAGTAATCCTTCTAGGAGACGGAGGAGTTGGGAAAAGTTCTATTATGAACAGATATGTCACTAACAAGTTTGATACCCAGCTGTTCCACACAATAGGTGTAGAGTTCTTAAATAAAGACCTAGAAGTGGATGGACACTTTGTCACAATGCAGATATGGGACACTGCAGGTCAAGAACGTTTTAGGAGCTTGAGGACTCCTTTTTACAGAGGTTCTGACTGTTGTCTTCTCACTTTCAGTGTAGATGACTCTCAAAGCTTCCAAAACCTGGGCAACTGGAAAAAAGAATTTATTTACTATGCAGATGTGAAAGAGCCTGATACGTTTCCTTTTGTGATACTGGGTAACAAAGTAGATATAAGTGAGAGGCAAGTGTCTACAGAAGAAGCTGAACTGTGGTGCAGGAACAATGGCAATCATCCTTACTTTGAAACCAGTGCAAAAGATGCCACCAATGTTGCAGCAGCTTTTGAGGAAGCTGTTCGAAGAGTTCTTGCCACTGATGATAGGTCAGATCACTTGATTCAAACTGACACAGTAAACCTTCACAGGAAGCCCAAGCCTAGTTCATCATGCTGTTGATTAGCAATTTTTTCATGGCCATATATCATTCTAACTTAACTTGGAGTAATAATAGATCAAATATGATTCAGTGGGTGCCACTCTAATATATTAAATTGTAATATTCTATTGCTTTATGTGTTGGGCAGAGGAGAGCTTCTTTTCAATAAGTGATCTGTTGCTAAGTTAGTGGTGTCTGACATTTGGAAAGGTACCAGTTCAACAGTTCATTTAATTTAAATGTGTCATTTGAAAATTAATAAATTATATACTAAAACTTGAAAGTTCTAGAAGCACTACTTGGGGGATATGTTCTGGAATTCAGATGCAGAATAGAATTTTTATATGTACATATATATTTTTATGAGATCACCAGTCCATGTTTTGCTTCACTAAAACTTTTTTTCATAAAGCAATAATAGTAGGTATTAGGATCTTGTCTCAGTTCTCCATCTTTAATGTGATTTTTTAAAAAAGAAAAATCTAAGCTAACTTGAGAGGCATAAGGGCTTTTGCTATTTGTGTAGAGTTACTGCACTGCCTGTAGATTTTAAATTAGAAAATAAATATGCATACATAGAATCTGTGTGGGTGTGTATTTCTCCTCTATCTGATTTTCTCACACTTTGATCGATAGCAGGTAATACCTTGGCTATGAAACTGGATTTCAATAATCCTTGCAACTGGCTTCTTGATCCACACAGGAAGACATAGCAGTGCAAAACGTAAAAAAAAAAAAAGACAGTAGTATTCTTTGGGTGCCGTTCTATTGATTGTGCCTTCAGCATTTAGAAGACAAGGAATTTTGTTCCCTGGCAGGGCATTAGGCACGATGAAAGTGATCTTTGCCTCGCTGCCCTCCATTCGTCAATTTTATTCAGTGAACAGACTGTTCCACCCATTTAAACAAGGACGCTCCTGAGGGAAGATAAAATGTATCCCATCCTTTCTTGTTTCCTCCAATCCACACTTTCTGGAACAACATGCCTGCCTCTCCAGAGTTGCTTTACTGACCTTGAAGGGCAACCAGCATGGTTTGCTCTCTGTCTCTCTCTGGCCTAGTTACAAGACAATGGTGTGCGTGGCTGTCTCCCTTCTAAGGTTGGAATGCTGTCTTCGACCTTATTTTTATTTTATTTTTCGATTTATATCCTGCCTTTTTCCTACAAAGGGCTCAAGGCAGCTTACATCTCCTCAGCCATCTTATCCCCACAACAACAACCCTGTGAGGTAGGTTGGGCTGAGAGTCTGTGACTGGCCCAAAGTCCCCCAGTTGGCTCCATGGCTGAGCAGGGACTAGAACCCAGGTCGCCTGAGTCCCAGTCCCATGCTCTTAACCACTACACCACACTGGTTCTCAGAGGAGTCAATCCAAACTATCCTATGGTCCTTGGGATTCTCAGCCAGGACCATCGAATTGCAGTCTGGTTGCTTAAATAGTTGTTAATGTGAAAGTGATCTCTGAAACATCTTGAGCTTTTCCAAAACAAGCAGGTCATTTAGTTTCTCATAATGCCATTAAGGCTTCCCTTTGACATTACTTCAATTTTATAACTATCAATTTTTGGCCTTTATTAGTTTTTTATTCTGGCACAAACTTGAGAAACACCTATTTGGGTTGTTGGATTGAGTATTTTAAGTAAGAAACAGTTCAAAAAATGTTCCTGTTTTGGTTTTTGTTTTTCCTTCTTAAAACTTAAAGTAGCAGTCCTATGCAAGCTTCTGTGAAAAAGGCTCCATTGGAAACAAGTTCTGATTTATGAGCAAGCATGGATAGGATTTTGTTGTCAGTCACACAGATTCATTATGAAACGCCACTGAAAACTGTACTGCTTAAGTCCAAAAGCTACACTTCACTCACTGAGCAATTCCTCATGGTTCTATCCTTGGTAGCTGTGTTTGAATGCCACAGTTATGTGCATCCTCCTCCATCTAGGGGTGCTAGTTTGGTTCACAAGACACATGCTCAGATGGCTGTGTGAATCTCACACAAGTAGCTGCATGGGACAGCACCATGTGGTTCAAAAAGTATGTTGCATCCAACCCTTGTATTTGATTTGATTCATTACTGGGCAATTGTAATTTTGTCCAGGCCTTGACAAATGGAGAACAGGCAGATTGAGTGCTCACATACCATGTGGAGTGCTAGAGGCCTTTCTCATCTGTTGATTTACCAAGCTGGTCCAGGCATCTTACCCGCTGAAAACATGTGGATGTGCTTGAATATTTGAATTTGGTCATGAGTGAGTATACGGCTTTCCTTGGCTTGCTTGCTTGCATCTGACACTCCTTGGCTCTGCACTCATCTTTCTGGGGTGTTCCTGCTTTCTGTGTGATCCATGTGGCCAGATTTCAGTGTTTGCATCAGATTTGGCATCAGAGAGTTTCACTAGGCTAGGAGAAAGGGAAAAGATGGGGGAGGATAGCTTCTCTCCTGTATTAAAAAGTCACAATGCTTTATTGCTTCTTAAAATGTTCTATGGCATAATACATTTCATAGACTGTAGTTCTTTTGAAAGATGTTGCTTTCTATGTGACTAGAGAAAAATACTTGCAGAAATAAAAGTACAGGATCACTGATTATCTTTGTTGCATCTGATAACTCTCAACTATCTGGGTTTTTTGCCCTTATGTCTTCACTTCCTGTTGCTTCCCTGAATGTTTGTTCCTCAGGTTTCTTCTGAAATCAAATGCCTTCCTCTCCTCTTTTGCAAACAGGTGTGTTCCTAGGAGAGTGTGTGCACACAGGATTTTAGAGCTTGAGGCAGCTGCTTCAGACAGCTGATTTTATGCATTATGAAAAGGCAGCAAATTATTCATTATTAATGATTAATGTTTTCTGCTGTGAGGAGATGGTGGAGGTGCTTGTAGGATTTGCTGCCTTAGTAGCCAAGAAACCTTGACTGGCTTTCAGCATTACTATGCACCTTAAGTGTGGTAGAGGGGAAGGTGCCTCAGGCAGCAAAATGTCTTGCACAAGTACAGGGTATGGCTGTAGTGACCTGTGGGGCTGGAAAATGTAATTCAGATGGTAGAGAACATTATGTCAGTTACAGAGATGGGGAAATGAGATTAAATGTAAATGCACTTTATGTAGTGAAATACTAGACCTCAAAAGGAATATAACAATGGAACATGCTTAAACAACTTTGAGTAAAATATATTAACATATACTTGAACTGACATAGCAAGTGAAGTATGGTTTCTTCAGTTAACATATTGCCATGATAATAATTGTACTGCTTAAACATTCTAGTCTTGTATTTAATATTTATTATGTTGATATGTACAAACATGAATTTATACAACTGAAGTAATCAACTACAATGGAAACTGCAATTACTATACTCCTCGATCTTGTTAGTTTTTCATACCTTGTTGTGAAGTACTTTTTAAACATCTCAAGTATTTAGTGGCAGATTGGTCATCTTAGGTTCAGAATGTGTCATACATGCATTTCGCTATTTGTTACAATACAGATGCAGTAACTCAGCTTAAAAGATGTTTCTTCCCGAGAAACTGAACTTTCCTGTCAAATGCAGTTGATCGAATTGGCGAATTGGGTTCATAAAATGGGTTCATCGCAAACTGAGGAAGGAAGAGTCAATACAACAGCATGGATAAAAATGATTTTAAAACAATAAATTGGAAGCATTAAGCTAATAAAATAGTAAACATATCATTTAAGAATTGGTACCATTACACTCTTCACAAATATGCTAAACGAACATTACCCCACCAAACACGGGCAATATTTTTTTAATCAACTCATGACTGTCCAGCCCAACTACCAGCTCTAGCTTCTTTGAAGTTCATGACTTTACATTTCTCTGAAAGAAGTCACATGTACAAAGAAAACCTGGACTGAGTTTTTCTATGGTTATTTAATAGAGCCAAGTCAATTAAGAGAGAGGAGTTAAGATTTTTTAAAATACCAAAAAAAGATGGTCGGAGGCAAAGTAGATAGGAACAATGGAATTGGCTGGAAAGGAAAATGACTATTTTGTTTATGTGTGTGATTTAATTCTAACTATTCCTAATATACCAATGTTTCATCGGCAACTTGATACTGATAATGAGTATTATATACTATTTTGTAAATTAGTACAAAGTAAATTATTTTAACTTAATAATTTAATAAAATAATTCTAACCCATCCTTCATGGCAGCATCTCAGGACGGCTTACAAGCATAAAAGCAACAACAATTATAAAAACAATAATACCATAATAATAACTAGTAATAATAAATACAATCAATAGAATAAAAATACAGTGAGAGTTAAAAATAAGTAAATCACAAAAAGTTGACTTAACTCTAAAATTCCTAATTTTTAAAATGATGTTCAAATAAAAAGGTTTTATCTGACTATCAGTTACCTGTCTATCAAATTTCTAACCCGCTACATTAGTCTTAAGGCAGATTTACAGCAGAAAAAATATTTAAAATATTGTATTTTTTGTATTCAAGTGTGTGTGTGTGTGTGAGTATATAAAGCATACTCTTGATGTTATACAATATTATATTGTAAATTAACTTTTAGTGATCACCATCCTTTAAGAAATATGAAGTATTGGTAGCACACTTAATTCTTGGTGATTTTAAATCACTAATTCTAATTGCTCTGATTTAAATTAATCCACACTGTGATATAATGAGGAAATCTTAAGAAGACTTGTCTAAAAAGGCCTGAGTTGCTAAAATTCAGTGTGATTTTTGTTGTTGCTTAGGTGTATACTGTGTTCTTAATACTACAATCAACTATCATAGAGTACTTTGTAGACAGGGAAGCTACATCAGGATCCACACACTGTTTTAGTTATATGTAGTAGTCTAACACTATATTTCCATTTTGGGTGAAAAGGTTATGCTATAATTTCTTCTTTCAACCCATAATACTGATGTTTTTCCCACCATAAGACACAGTACATTGCCTTTTTAAAAGAAACATACTCTGCCTTTTTGTATGGTAAGAAATTTGTTAAGCCCTGTTGTAAACTATATTTGGCCTGCTGTGCCCATCATTATAGTGGGGGTGGGAATATCTTAGCAAAATTAAACTTATACATTCATAATATAAAATGTGCCCACAAGGAGCAAGTCATAGTCCCTTCAAATTTGCGTCTACTCAAAGATTTACATACACTACCAGCAGCATGTTCATCAAGATAGAAATCAAAACAAGGTGGGATACTTTTTTTCACTTCTTAAGTAACTCCCTCTATTAGCAATGGGTAATAGTTCCTCACCTTTATATAAAGGTCATAGACATCACTAAAGAAGTTTTTAATTCCATCTTCTTGCCTTATATCATGAAGCATTATAAATCTCATATGTAGAAGAAAGTTAAGAAAACAAATTCACTTCTAGTAACTCCAGTCCTACACTAAAACAGACTCATTCACAAGCATATAATCCAGATTTATATCATGTTGAAAGGATAGCAGACCCAAACCAAGTAATCCACATAGGAGTGTGCTCAAGATGGTATAAGCAAGTGACTTGGGAAAGTTGAACCCATGACGTTCAATGTCCCATTTTCAACTAAGGCTGATCTCATAGAAATATGTGGAGGGGAGGGGAGGCCCAGAACAATATATGGAAAGTTATGGGGTTTATAAAGCACCTACTAGATAATCTTGTGCCAAGTAGTGGAGCAGTTTCTTTGAAATCTGATCATAAGGATAAACATACTTTCAGATCAGTTGTATCTCCACCAATTATACAAAAAATATTTTCCAAGGTCAAGAGTTAGAACTTACTCTCTGAAAATACTTTGACCCTTAAGTACAATATACATAGCTCAAAATAACTGGGATGGAATATTTATGGCCAGTTAGAGAAGGAGCAGATAGGATTACAATGAGGGAGGGGAAACTTCTGTCGAAATTTAATGCATACATATTTAATATCAGTTGCATTTACAGATATATAAAAACTCATGGCCATTATTCCGCAAATGATTACATCATGAAGAAGCTATTTTATATAAGAAAAGATCATCCTATTCAAATGAAATCAAAAAATCCCAAAGCAAAAAACAATCTTAAGATTTTGCAAATATGCTTCATAAACTGAAACCAACCAACAGAACAATGAAGTAGTTTACTTATAACATGAAATTAGTTGGGTTTTCAAATTCTGAATAGTGCTAACAACATTTGATCATCTAGGTGATCAACTAGAATCCAGAAGTACAGGGAACATTCCTCTTAAGATTAATCTGTTATATGCTAGTTGTTAGGAATATAACTTTATTCTTTTATTCAGATGCAGTATTAAACACTACATTCTGCAAAGCTATTGTTTTAGGTACATACAGTGTTTTTCACAATAGCTATGAAAAAATAAAGGGGATACTGAGGAACTCTACACTGGTTTATACACATGCACTAATGTGTCCAGGCACTGTAATGCAATACTGGAGAGAATGTGATGTCTGTTCCCTTATCCTCAAAGCGGATAGCCCTCTCTGTCCAATGCAAGTTATTCATGTCTGAGACACCTATTATCTTCTTATAGGAGTAGGTACTGAAAAGCTATTTGTGTGACCGGAAAGCAAATTTTAACTTCCCCTCCAAGAACTACTGTGTTCAGTTCATAGCAGTCTTCTCATCCACAGTGTGCCAATACTCAAATCAGTGCATCGTTCCTTCACAGAAGCATGTTTTCTATTTTCCTTTTTCTATGAAATACAAAACTTAACAATGGCAGGGTTTGTGAGTTTGTCATCACTGGTGGGTACCTGATAACTGTTAATGAGGCACTCCCAATATAAAGTGGTGGGAAGCATCCTGTGTTCCCCCAAAAAACTATACTAGACATTTCAAAGATTCCAGAGCAGTTCATTTGCAGGCGAGGTATGGAGACAAAGAGGAAATGGGCAGATATTGCTGATCTTCTCCCCAATTTCCCCACCACCAGAATTTTTGAATGAATTTTACTCCTGTTCATGAGCAAAACAGCCCTTCTATTCAAATGCCTAGTTAGGATCCAAGGTAATATTCCAAAACAATCCATGAAGTTACCAATTAGTAGAATTAAGGCAAAAAAGGATATGTCCTGCAGTGACAAACGCAGAAACAAACCACTCATTAAACTTGTCCACAGTCTTCAGGTACATATTGTTAGACAACCACATGTTTTCATCTACTAAATCAAGAGCGGCATGAGCTATGAATTGATTAAGATGGCGATGATCATCCTGATAAAACAAGTAGAAACTGACTTTAAATATGTAAAACAAAGTAACACAACTTCACTATTTCTGATGCACTGGTAGATGTAAAACTTGTTTGCCCTGTAATATATTAGATAAACATCAACCTCCATGAATAATTATCCTAGTGATGAATGAGGAATAGAACATACTCTGGTATAATTCACAATGGTCCACAGAACATATTCTGTTTAAGCATATTATAGATACCAAAATACATTATATATTCAAACAGAACTGAGTGTATAACACACATTTATTATTTGCAGTTCTTTAGGAACACATGAGAAAACTATGAATGTTTCAGCCATTTTACACCAGATCATTTGAAAATATGCATTAAATGCATAGAAGTTATCCTGAGTGGGTTATTCAGGGGTGAGAAGGGAAGGAAGCAAGCAAATTTCAGCTAGTCAGTCCTATCCCTACACTTCAGTAGTAATGTTTTAATGCAAACAAATTAAAATAGAAATGAAGTTACAACAAATCAATAGAAACCTGGATTATCAAGAGTCTGGGATTAGATCTGTTCAACACTAAATAAAAAGTGTGGCATTTATACAAGATTTCACACCTTAGACTCTACTTTACCAGCTGGTAGAAATTCCATTTCAAATACTGGATTGTCATGATGCCCCACAATTACAAAGTAGAAGCTTCCAGACATATTTCCCCTTCTGAAAGGGAACAGAAGTCACAGTCAGAAAGGATAAATGGGACATCTTCTCCACTCCACTTTCTTAAGGCAAAATAATCCACAACCAACAGCATACCTGTGTCAGGACTTTCTTTGATAACATACAAGATATGTTTGAGATTCTATCTATGTTATGTGAGTCGCAAAGTCATGTCCAACCCATCACTACCCCATAGACACCATTCAGAGCATACTGTATTTTTGACCTAGTCAGAGTTTGAAAATTTCTTGTCCAACTCAACCTCTCACTCCGTTTTTCTCTTCTGAAATGCCATCGTCTAATTTAATTTTTATTCTGAATTTCAACCAAAGCATTAAAAAAAATACATTTGTAACTACATGAATCGGAGTAGACTGATTTCAACAGATGGATATAAAATGTACACATATGCATCTATATATCTATAAACAGATTACTGTCAAAAAGTATGCATAAGTTTCAACAAGGGTAGGGCAAATGTCACTCTATTCCCTCCTTCACAGGCGGTATCTAAATACCTCAGTCTATTGTATTACAGGAGGTGGGCGACTGTCCTTCCAGTGCTGTGATAGTAATCCTTTTGCTGTCAAGAGAGCATGGAAAATCCATCAATCATCTCCTCCATTTTATCTTCCACCTTTCAAGGAAGAACAACACCTTAAGAAAAACTTACCTCAGACTCAGTTGTGGCCAGAATCAAACGACGTAAAAGGAAGACAGGGCAGGTGACTATTTTCCGCCCAAAACATCCGGCGCGGCTTGATGTCGTCATAGCGCTCCGAATTTAAGCAAACACGACCGTCACTTCTCGGTCGATCGTCGTGTTGTCGCGAGAGCTCCTGCCCGGTCACGAGCCCGCGGAGTGGCGGTAACCGCAGCAACGGCGAAGGGCCGGGACAATTCCGAGCGCGCGGCAGTTGGAGGCTCGTTGCTCGCGGGCGGGGCGGAGGGAGGGCGGACTTGTGCTCGCGCTGGGCGAGGGGAGCCTCCGCTGCCGCTCTTCGCCGTGCGGCTCCTCCGCAGTAGCAACGGTGAGGCTCGTCGCAGTTCCTTGTTCGCGGCATGCAGGGTCCCTGTTCAATCTCGGAGTTTCCTCTCGCCTCTGCTCTCGGCGTGCGGAAGGATAGGGGGGAAAGCGCCTCCTCAGCTCGAGTCAGCACTGCGAGGGGCTTCCCTTGTCCGCGGAATTCCAGGTGTTCGCGGAATACAGAAAGAAGGATGAGGAGGTGGCTTCCGAGTTCCCGTGCAGAAGGTGGAAGGTCTATAAAACGAGAGATGGGCCCAGGCTCAGATGGTTTTGCGTTTTTTTAAACTGGGCACGTACTCTGGTACTGCTTGTTCCTGCACTGCAGAACCAGAGACGTATTATTTTTACTAATACCGAATAATGACGTGTTTAATGATTCTTAGGTGCTATACAGCTACTTTAAAAAGCCCTTTTACACTGGCTTGTTAGTATGATTTCTTGTTTATTGATTTTATGCACACCTGAAATCTAATAGATGCAATATGAATGAATATTGAGTATTCAGCAAAATAATTCTTTTGCAAGAACAAACTGCATTAAGGGCACAATCCTGTGCATGTTTAGAAAGCAAAAAAAAAGAAAAGAAAAAAAAAGTCTTCAGCTCTCAGAATTCTGCAGCCATCATTGCTGGCTGATGAATGCTGGAAATTGAAGGGGTTTTTTTTAATGCCTGAGCATGCACAGAATTGGTTTGCATGTGGCAATCTCAGATGTAGGTATAGATAGTTAAACTGATGAAAGAAACTGATGAGACTTTCTCGTTCCTTGGAACAACAATAGTTCCTCTAACATGACAAAAAGATGTCATCCCCCCATCCTCAACATTTTATTTTCTTTCCTTGCATGCTGGGCTAGGTAGTTCTTTGGTCTTATCCAGCAGGGTATTATTACATACTTGTGGTTTGGTGTATGCTATTTCACACATCATCTTTCACTGAAGCCCTTTCTTCGGTGTCTTTCATTAACTTTGTCTAAAAAACTGTCAACATGACTTGCAAGATGAGTGCATAATAAATAGTTTTCTACATGCATAAGCAAATTAATCTAGAATCTCTTCCCATCAAATTCATATTCACTGAAGGCATTGAATTTATTCTGGAGAACTCAGTAAGGCAGTCCAGATTTCAATAAGTTGGTCTTTAATAGATTTTTATCTTTAATTTTGTTAATTATAGCACCATCCTTACTTATTTCTCTTGGGCTTTTCTGTAGCTTATTCCCAAATGCTGCCTGTTAATTAGGAGAATAATTAATGGAGAAGTTTCCAGTTGTGTTACATTGCAGTTTCAGTTACTTGACTATGACAATAGATGACAAGAACATAGGGATGTGATTTCTGTGTTGAAGGAAAATCATTTGTAGTTTCTTTTCTCTGTACAATAATGCTTTTGTAAGTTGAGTGTTGATGGTAAATCTAAGCTAGCTTGGTTCTCTTGCTCTCAGTGGTAGATAGCTCTGTGTTTATCTCTTTTGTGGTATATTCAACGCCTCATACTGCTAAAAATCACTTAGGATTTCTTGTATCTGAAAATGTTTTGGTGTACAGCCAAAATATGAAATTTGGTGTATATGTGAATGATATTCAGTTGTCAGTGTTGTAAAGTAGATTACTCAGATAAGTTGGTAAAATTTTAATTTTCCTTTATTTTCAGCTATTCATGTCTTCACCTGAATTTGAGGCTCTGTCGCAAGATGAACTCCGAAAAAGACTGTATCAGACATTTAAGAACCGAGGTGTTTTGGACGCCCTTAAGGTCTTTGACTTACACTAGATCAAAATCAGTATAGCTTCAGTTCTGAATATTTTTGTTAAGGCCAGTTCCATTGTTAGTAAAGTTATTACTGTTCTTTACAGAATGGCAACAAAAAGTGGGTTTTTGTGGGTCTGCATATTCCGAACATTCATTCATTCATTCATTCATATTGCGATTTATATCCTGCCTTTTTCCTACAAAGGGCTCAAGGCAGCTTACATGATCTCTCCTCCTCCATCTTATCCCCACAGCAACCCTGTGAGGTAGGTTGGGCTGAGAGTCTGTGACTGGTCCAAAGTCCCCCAGTTGGCTCCATGGCTGAGCGGGGACTGGAACCCAGATCATCTGAGTCCCAGTCCCACGCTCTTAACCACTACACCACACTGGCTCTCATGGAATTCATCAGTTCTGAAAATATGCATTGTTCAGCCCTGATTGTAGGCAATCCATAAATGCCCACATTTCTACCAAGTATTCATATTTTCATCATCAGTGTATGCATGGAAGGAAAAAAATGAAGTGAAAGATGTTTAGTGGTTAAGTGCTTAAATCTGCAGTAGAGTCTTTTACAAGGAGTTTTTTAGGGTTCGGGTTTGGGTTACAAATTGATTATAAAATAATCAAAACAAATAAAGCAAAACAAATTCAAATTAAAATTGCCAAGTTCTTTTTTCATTAACATTAAATGGACATGATTTTTTTCTTTTTTAATATATAGAGAAGGAGACCATCATTCTAAGTAAATTTCATTTTCTTAGGTGCAATCCAATGTGTTCCAAGGCAGGCAAACATAAGCCTCTGCATTCAACAGCTTATATACATACAGTGTATGGAGCAAAACTCAGTGATTGCAGTCTCTGCCACTGCTGTGCCTTCCCCACTATATGTACTCTAGGTGGCTTTTTTAACCTTATAGATTTGGCACCAAAAAGGGAAGGAACAATGGGAATCTGCATCAAGCAGTGACCCCAGCTTCCTCCCCTCCCTCAGTTCACTGGTTTTTGTTCTCTCTGAAGCCCAGTTGCATTTCCTTGGAGAAACTGCCAACATGGCTCCTTCCATGCCAACTGTACTAGAAATGGGTTTCAACCTTTGACATTCCATCTCTTGATCACAAGACCTTGGAGCTGAGGCTCTGAAAAATCCTGTCAACCCCAAGGCAACATCAGAAGGTGATAGGATTGCATCCTTAGTTAGTCTTTCTAATAGTCTATCAGCAAGTTAGTTATTTTTCTGATGCAAAATATGTGGTAGCATGCAATCTTGCATGCCATATAGAGTGGAAGCAAGGGGCTGTGTGCATACTGTAGAGACTAATTTTGTTTGCTTTGTTGAAACAGTACATCCATATGGAATTAGGAATTTTCAAAACATTATTTGAGAAAGGAGCTTAGAATATTTTATACACTTTTCATAAAAAGTAAGCAGAATTCTCTATGCTTCTCTACATTAAAGCTACAGTTACAGACTGTATCTGATAGGTTAGCTATAAGCTCTGACTCTAGCAGTTCCAGGATGCATTATGAAACCCAACAGATAACCATTACTGAAAGTGAGCTGTCAGATGTGTTAAAAGATCTGATAGTCCCTTAGAGGTAAAGCTTGGCTGTTTGACTCAGACCTCAGATTTATCACATGCTTTTAGTTAATCTTGAATTTTGAAAGTCTTAAACTTTCCTATGTCATTTAATGTTTGTATCAAACTTTTCTTTCCAGAAGGAAGACTAATAGTAACATACTATTTTTATTTCTTCAGACACAGCTTCGAAACCAACTTATACATGACTTAGTAAAGCCAGTTTTAAGTGTAGAAACTCAACCACAAGCCATTTCTAGTGAATGCAGTTCATTGATAATTGGTGCTTCAAACAGTCTGGTTGCCGATCACCTGCGCAGATGTGGCTATGAGTATTCACTGTCCATCTTCTATCCAGAAAGTGGATTAGAAAAGGATAAGGCAAGTACTACAGTCTTCAGAAGACTATATGAACTTACGTCCTGGATTTAAATAAACCCCCTTTATTTATTGCTATCTTCATTTTGTCTGTAGCCATCTTCAAACTTTTTCAGATTTGGGTGCCCTGATTTTTAGCCCAGGCATACATTTTGGAGCTATGTTCTTGATTTTTTTTTAACCATACATTTGTACTGTCTGCTGCACACTTTCAATCACACTGTAACAATCTGTTTCAACTCAACAGTTGAAGACTAGTTGTTCTATAATACAGACCAGTCTTTTTGAGAGAGGAGAGAGAATACAGGGCCTCAGTGGGTGTGTTGGTAGGATGATTCCCCTGGCACATTTGCCAGGAGCTAACTTTTCTTTCCCCATACATTCCCCCTCTGCCCATTAGAGGGAAAATGCAGGGAACGCCAAGTTCCTGGTAGAGAAGGCACAGGGCAGGCAAAGGGACTTTGCCACATGTGCATCTTCACTGCACACAGGTCTTCTTCCATTGAAGAAGTTGGTTCCTGGCAGACACACAGGCAGCATTATTTCTAACACGCCTTCCAGCTTCTTCAAGAAAGTGTAACAGCCAGTTGGAGGAGTGCTATTCTACCTGCTGACTCAGTCCAGGATGCTTTGCTTGTTCAGCAGCATCTCCAGTGGAGAATGCAAATGTGCAGTTGAATTGTCCATCCATGTGCATCTGCTACTGTGGATTTCTTTGTGGAGCTTGGTTTGGGGGCGAAGGTCATGTGCCAGTCCCTGCAAGAATCCACTGACAAAATTAGGCTCATGGTCCAGTGATTGAAGGTTGTAGGTGGAGGTGTTATGAGCAGAAGGAAAAGAAAGAGAAATAAGTTTCCTTTTCCTATGGAAATACCATATCTGGAAACCCATCAATGCAGCATTTTGTTTTATTTCCCTAACTCTACCATTTTTTTCTTTGACGATGTAAAATATAAAATGTATAGTTAATTGTTAAGAGGTTTCTTTTTCTTCTTACAAAGGAACTTACTTTGCAAGATTTGCTGCAACTCATTAGGATTAATCCCAGGACTGACCTTTATAAAACACTGGTAAAGTAGAACCTTATTTCTAGAAAAAGGAGGGGGTGTTTGTTTGAGTTGAAGGACTAAGTTAACTTAATTTTTTTCTGTTTACAGGTTTCAGCTTCAGGAAAGGATAATACAAAAGGTACAATTACAGTATATAGAAAAAGCTCACAATATAGATATCAGTGCAAAGAAATTGTTTATTTATATATCTAATTTATTTAAAATGTTTGATTTCTTGATTATTGGTTTAAAACAAAATTTCTAGTGAGGTTTGTAATAATACAGTATTACTAGTGAAAATATAACACTATAACAGATAATGAATAAGACAATGAATAAAACAGCGACATGAGAAAATATTATCAGCATTTAGTGTGTTTAAAAGCGTTAAAAGCCCCGTTGGCAATTGAATATATGGCTGGTGATTTCTTTGACGTTGTTATTGCAACAGATACTGCTCCTGAAGAGGCAAGTAGTTGTTTAGTTTTAGGTGTTTGAAAAAAGGAGCCAGTGCAATAAAATAAAGGCTTTTGGTAAATGTTATTGTATAGTTAAACATTTTTCTTTAGGTCTGTTGAACTTATATTCTTTGGGAACTTTTTACCACTACAAAATATGTTTTATTATGCCCTGAAAATGAAAAGTGTTGTAGAAGAAATGTCTGATTAATCATATATCTCTTAAGGCTTACTTGTGCAGATTTTAACAGAGTTGATAGAACACAGTCTTTGTAAGGAAAGCTGTACCACAGAAACCCAGACAAGTGTAGCACCGGGTAAAGAATCTCTTGGTAAGTGAAGTTTTATCATTGGCTTATCTACAGCAACCTTGGAAATTTAAGTAGTCAACCTTGGAAAAGTTAATAGTTCAATATTTATTATTGAGTTTCATTTTTGAGTTGCTTATGACACCACTGTTCATTAATTGGAATGTACATGCAAGTCACTCTGTTTGAAGCACACCTCTTCTCCATAATGTTGGAAAATTTTGTAAATGTTTACTGGCATTTACATGGGTATATTGCAAGCCACATGTAAATGTGGATCATTGTCCCATTTTCTAATTACAAGACAATGTTACAAATGGGTTGTTTTATACCCCTGTCCGACCCATGAATACCCTAAATAGGACAGGAAATGCCTCAGTGGGCAAGAGCAGAAAAAGCACAAATGAATAAATGAAGCACAGATCCAGCTTCAATGAAAAGAGAATGGGGTGGGTGGATTAAGGTAAATGCTGAAGTACAGTAACATTTAAACCAGTGCATCTGCTCAAGCTGCCAACTTTGTGTTTTATTTATATTGTTTTTTCTCTCTCTCACTGCTTGACGGTAGAACTTGATTATGGTACATTGCTTTTTATTTTTTACATAGCTGACAAACTTCAACTGATTGATGAACAGTTTGCAGACATGTATCCTAAGCACCACATATCTGAGTCTTTTCAAGTAAAACTTGCTGAATTTAAAAAAGAAATAGAACAGCAGCTTCAAACAGAAATGTCTCAAAAGGTGAGGAGTGGAAAGAGAACTGACAACTACTTTATGGCAATCTTACATGCCCATGAGAAGTTTCATGTTGCTTCTTATTGTTGGGTAGTAATTTACATTATCCCATAATTTACATTATCACAAAACACAGAAAAGAGGATAGACAGATTAAACCAGATGTTACTATTTGCATTATGGACAATAGTAGTAATTCTATTAGGACTGGGGGGAAAATCACTATAGAAAAATGTCATTTAGTATTGCTTTCGGTGATTTTAAATTCAGGAACATATAAACAGATAGTATTTAGACAGGTATATGGTTTGCATGGCACAACAACACAGTGTGGATTAATTTGCCTATGAGAAGCTGTAGCGCATACCAGCACCACTGTGCATGTACAGCCTCTGAATGAGTGGTGTTGTGTTGTGCAGAATAACCAGTAGGGATTATTTGAGAATTAAATAATGTTCTGTTCTGTTACAGCCATGTTCTGTTACAGCATTATGTGAGAATTGTTTAGCCCCAGATTACTCCCACTGACCAGGTTTGCTTGGCACAACAACCCTAAGTTGGGGGTTTTGTACTCATAATGATAGCTGGTACACAGCACAGGTCTTTGATGCTAAATCAATCCATGACAGATTGATTTGCTGTAGAATTTGTATGGATATGTTCTACACAGAAGTAATAATTAAACCCTGGTGCAAGTTGCTTGCTGGCGTAAGAACCAATTGCCCAGGAGATTTTTTATCAGCTCTCTAGATATCCTGCTTTTGTCCCCAAAAGCTGCAGAAGGCAAATAGTTAATATTTGGATCATGACCATAAAGATGAACAACCCTTTTCTTTTTGCACACTGAATCGCCTTTGAAATATGTTCTGGGAACAGGAAAATACACTAGGAGATCTGCTCATGAGCAATATACAGAATGTGCAGTTTGAGTTTCCAACACTGTGGAAAGATATATACACTGGTTAGTATTTTCAGTGCAAGAGTTTCCCTGTTGTATTTAGCTTATGAACCTCTCCACCATTGCCATTGTCTCCACTTCTCTCCCTGCATCTAGAATGTTGACAAAGACTAGACACAGTTGTTGGCTAAAAAGAAGGAATAGCAGCAGGCATGCTTGGGCACAAATGTTTATATTTGGGATGGCAGGACTACTGTGGAAGTGAGTTTGGTACATTTTTCTTCAAACATACAATCTTTTTGTCATGTTTACTGCATATTTGCAGTAAATTCCAGCTGTCCGCATGCTCATATTTCAAATGTGCCTCCCTCTAGTGATTTTTCAACTGTTTTTTAAAGTTGGGAGGACACAAATGCACAAGGGGGAAGGGAAAGGCAGAATTCTGAATTGGTGACTGAATTGCTGATCAGCATTATCTAATACATTGTGAAGACGAAGGATAGTAGAAGTTGAACCAGGATAAAAAAAGAAAAATCTTAGGCCTGTGGTCAGAATAGATTTGTTGTAAAGTTCCACACTGCTACTTTGGGGAATTTGAAATCGTCTAACAGTTGAATATGATCTAATATTTTAACTCAACAACTTTGAAATACAACTTTGTTTTAATATGATAGTTGCAACACTTCAGAGAGATTGAAATAGCCAAAATTAAAATGGATGAAAGAACCCAGTCCCAGAAAGAAATTTCAGAGCTTCGTAGAGAGTTTGAAAAAGCTTATCAAGCTAAGTCGGAAGCACTGAACTCTCGAGAAAGAAATGCCATTGAGAGACTTCGGAAACAGCAAGAGGTAATTTGTAAAACTTGGAGCTAAATAGAATGCTAATGACAGTGATGTCGGTAATGTCATCAAAGCAGTGATGTTTTGTTTTTCACACAATTTAATTGAAACAAGCCTTTTATTGAAACAAGCCTTCTCAATCAGACATAGTTTTATTGGCATAAAGTGACTTTAAATATTTTTATTATGTAGTTTACTTTTTTATTTTCATTGTTCACTCAGAAATTCTGCTAGATATGGAGTGGTATATAATTATGTAAAACAAAGTATTTTGAAACATAGCCTGGAATTCATTTGGAATTTGCTGTTCTGCTGATTCTTGATGTAATGTAAATTGGTTTTCTAATAGATTGATGCAAAAGAAATTTATCTGCAAAGACAAAATCTGTTGAAAGATATTGAAACAATAAGGGCCCGAGAAGTAGAATTGAAGCAGAGAACAGAAGCTTTTGAAGTGTAAGTTGCTAAACATTATTCATAGAACTATTGGCTTGGAAAACACTCCCTTTCTTGGTCTTCTAAAAGCAGTCTGTATGAAATTATGTACACTTTTATTTCAGCAGCTGCTGAATGCTGCAGCTGTTTCTTTTTGTGGGCAGAATGGCAGATCTGCTAGTAGAAGCTTCTATTTCCATGACAGAAAACTCTGCTACTATTGCCAAACTGCCCTTGATGTTCTGCTGATGGCATGGCTGTAAATGAAGGATGTGCTGGATCCAAAGCTACCTCAGTCCTGTACACTCTAAGAAAGGATGAAAATGTACACCAGCTCTGGAGCTGGCTTGCTGATTCCATCTCCATCCTCATTTAATGTCAATGGCAGGGAATGTGTTTTTAAAGTGGGAAGAAGGGGATAGAAAATTTTCACCTTCTGTCCTGTCATGCATGAGCTAGAAGTGTGTAGAAAGTGACAGTTTCTTTACCTTGAAAGTTTCAACTCCCACTGCACACACTTTATCCCACATCTTTACCAAGAAAATGGTATTCAAGGTGGCTTGCTCCTCTTTAAATGCTGCATTGCATTGATAGAAGCTACCTTATCTGACTCCTGGCAGCAGTTCATTCCTGTTTAGGCAGGTTTTGGTGTTTCATTAAAAGGCTTGTACTTTAGAGGGATTTATGTAACAGTCTTTGTCTTTGAAGTTATTACAGTTTCAATCACTTAGTAATGTCTCCTGTATCTACAATGTTGACAGCGATACATGTTAATATCATTTTGATATTTGTTCTATTGTGTATATGAGAGAATGTAGGGTTTTCATTTTATAATATTAAAAATGTTATGGGGAGGTCTTCCAATAACCCAGAATTAATATTTTCCATTTGTTAGTTGATTTTTTCCCCTTTTTTGTTGTAATATAATAATAAAAGAAGAACCTATTGATTAACCAGAAGAGGGAGCAGGTGAGCTACTGAAATAGAGGAATAACCTTTATAGTGTGTTTTAATGTTTTTGCCTTCATCATTTGCCATCTGAAGTAAAGGATTCTTAATCAAGGACTGCTTGATTATCCTGAATCCATAGTTTTTGCCCAGTAGTATGTTGCAAAACACAAGGCTTATGAGGCTTGCAGAATTTTATAACAAGTCATACAAGTTAATTTTACGACTAGGAAATAATGCCTTAGTAGGACAAAGAGCTAACCTACTATTGATTGTTACAGAATGTCCTTACCCCCACTGCCCTTTCCCCTCCCTCTTTGAATATTTGCTCTGAGGACAGACTCTGGCCTTATCCATCAACCACAGAACCAAAGTGCCCTTGGGAAGCTGCATACCCTGAAGCTGCAGAATATCATACTAGTGGAGAGACCAACTTGCTGCCATACATTGGCCAGAAAAAGACTAGCTGCAAGAGCTTATTTTTCTGTTTACTACCAGAATCTTGTAATGAAGAGCCAGCGCTTGAGTTTGCTTCTTTCCTGCCCTTCTATACATTTTCCTTTTCAGATTAGAAGCCTAAGTGCAGATGCTTGGAAAGGGAAAAAGACACATTTTATCTTTTTCAGTTTATCTTTTTCTCTATTATCCAGGTTTGTCTTATGACTGTGTCTTTGCTTATGTTTCTCCAGAGCTCAAAAGCTTCAAGAATCAAAAAATAAAACTGTTGAAGATGTGCTTCATTGTCGTGAATTAGCTGTGAAGAATATTGAGGAGACATATGACCAGAAGCTAAAGAATGAACTTCTAAAGTAATTTATTTGCCAGTCTAAAAGATGGCAAATAGACAAGCACATAGATAAAGCAGTCCCATTGGAAAGACAAAATCATCAAGAGGAAGTGACAATTTTGTAGACAGTTTTTATATGCTATAAGATGGCATATTTCTCTGTGACTGGGCACAAGTAGCTTACAGTTAGGTCCCTTGAAGCTCTTGGGAAGTTGTGAGCAAGAGAAGAATAATCCAGCAACCAAGCCAATTGAAGTTTCTTGTCCATTCTTTGCTAATGACCTGCTGGAAAGTGGGCACTGTTTCTTAAGGATTCAGGATTTAAAACCTGTCAGTGGTGTAATTGAAGGGACAGTGCTGTCCAGCAGAACACTGAGCATGCTTGCGTAGAAGTAAATTTTGTTGCGTTCAATGGGCATATATGCCATTTGTGTACCATCCCATTACATAGAGTTCTCTGGCTGGTTAAAATGTTCTTCTTCCCACTGACAAGTCCATTTGTTTTTCTTTTTCCAGAGCAGGAAATGGAATAAAAAATTGTAGTTAGAGAAAAAAGTCACACAGTGATCATCTGTCACTTGCAGTGACCCTGGGCAAAGTTTGCAAGATTTTGTTTGTTTTTACTGCTCCTTGCTGCTTATCTGTGCCTGGGTGTAGATGGCACAAAAAGCCACCATGGCATGAACAATCCTAAAACAAGCCATGGACCGTGAGGCTGGCTTCTTGTCCACAAACAAGCCACCTGTGCTGAGTAGTCTGGGTATACATGTGACATTTCTTGCATGATGGGTTCTCACATGCATAACCAGTCTGAGTTATTTAAAAGGCATAGCTTGAACTTTACCTGGCACCAGAATGAATGCAAAGGTTCTTCCAGGTTAATGCAATTCTGAATTGTAGCCTAAAAAATACATTTTCCCTCTGGTCAATATCTGAAGTTAAAGCAGTTTGTCATTGATGAATCAACTACTATAGTTTGCCCTGTCACAATAAGAGCTGCAGGGTATTGATACTGACACTGTTCAGTTTAAGCAATTGTCTATATATCTGTCAAATCTAAGCACACCACAATATACATGCAATAATCTCATTCATTTCATAAAAGGATTTTTGATTCTGATACGCTACAGCAAATTTTTAAAAAATATTTTTCTCAAGTATAAGCTTGTATTTATATGTTGTAATTTGATGCTTAAGAGAAACATTGTCTTCTGCCTTTAAAATTGAGACATTGATAGATTTATTTGCTTCTATTAGCATGTACTGACTGAGCAGTTAAATAAGATAGTTAAGAAATAGAGGCTTCAATCTTCCATCCACTTACCTGTGAACAAGCCTATTTGAAATCAGCGGGCTCTTGTAAAAGCCCTCTACATCAGTTGATGGCACTTCGTAATTTATATTTCTAGGTATCAGCTTGAACTAAAGGAAGAATACTTAGCCAGAACCAAGAAAATTACAGAAGATGAGAAAAAACATAAAGGTAACCTATGTTTTTTTTTCACTGCTTTTTTAAATGACAAATGTACATTTGTTCAAAATATTTCTAACGTAATACGTTCTGTGTCTGATCAGAGAAAGCTATGCTTTTGCGTGAAGAGACCGTTTCTCTTAATTCAAAAAAGCAAGAATTTGAACAAGCTATCTCACGTAAAAAAGAACTTGAGGTAATTGAAATTAAAATGTATATATTTTAGTGATGTATTTCATGCCTTCACAATTTAGAAGAATACGTTATCACTGTTTGAGTATGAATATATTATCTCAAAGTTCTAATAACATTGTTTTTAAAATGCTGTTTATTTCCAGTTGGAAATAGATTCAATCAAGGCCCAAGTGGTGATGTTAAGCAAGGAGAATCAGTTGTTGCTGGAAAAACTGAAAGATGTGTCGGACTACTCCATGCTAAAAGAGGAGAAAATGGAATTACAAGTTCAGAATAAGCTACTGAAAGAACAGTTGGAGGAAGCACACAGGGAAAACCTGCAACTCAGAGACAGTTAGTTTGAATCTAAAGATCTTTTAGAAATTTTATTAGTAAGGATTTGCAAAGATCATGTTTTAGAGATGAGAGAACACTTGATAGAAGTGCTACCACATCTCTAAAAATGTTCTCTTTGCATATTATACACACTAGAGAATAGATATATAATATACTTATTTACTTTCCTTTTGCATTTTATCTTAGTGAATGTCATGCGTTTAATAGCACTTCAGGAAATACTCATTAAATCTAAAACTACCTCCTTGAAGTACAACTAAATTTATTATGAGAAAGATGTGTACAATATTGTGAAAATGTCATTGGTACCTATTGGATAGTGATAATGACATCACAGCTTTAAAAATGTTTGGGAAAGAGTGAACATGTAACCATTTTACTACATGTAATCCCACAAAGAAAAAAATGCTTATACTGCATTTTAATAATCATTTCATATTTCCTTCTCTTGGATGTTATGAAGGGGAAAACATACTTGTTCAATAGATGAATTAAGAAAATAAGATTTCAGCTGTTATAAAGCCACGACCACTGGGGCAAGGATTCTCCAATGCAGTGATTACATTATTCTTACAGGTTTGGAGCTAGAGTTCTATATGTAAAGAAGTGTCTCAAATTATAGACACTTCTAATGTCATAGATATACATCAGTTCAAATAGAATAGAGCTGAGCAACTGTAGGAGATCCACAGCCACAGCAGGAGTGGCGGAAACAATTTTTAAAAAATTATTGGTTAGCCATTAACATTGTATAGTACTAGCAGGACCAAAAGGGGTAATGGTAGCTTGCAGTCATTTTAAAAGTGTTCCTTTTACTGTTCTGTGGGTGCTACAGAGAGCCATTTTCTGTTCTCCTAATGAAGGGAGAATTCAGTTTAAAAGCCATTTGCCATGAATTGTTGCCATACTTTGTCAGGACATGAATCTTTATACATTTTGGTAGCTTACTTTGCTGTTTGGGGAATAAACCCTTTTGGACCACACATTACTGGCAGGAACTACTGGCGGATCAGCTTTGTTTTGCAGTCCTGTATTTTGACTAGGGATGTGCAAGGAATCCATTTGGCATGAGAAATCTTTCTGATTCTCTGGTTTCAGCTTCCCAAATTCTTGTCCAGAGGGTAGGTGTAAGTCTGAGATCCTGGCAAGTGTGCTGCACTGTTTGCAGAACACTTAGCAGGACTTGAGCCCCATTGCATAGAATGATTTTCAACATGCCTGTTGCGCAAATGGAGTCCTTCTACACACGTGACTTTACCTGTGTGTAAAACTTGATGTGGCAGCTCACAGGTTTGTGCATGAAAACTCTGTTCAGGGCAACGAGAGGCCTTCTGCATAAGCCCAGCAAGCTTCTTTCAATTACAGTCCACCTGTGCATTGTACAGAGGTGAGTTTGGAGGAGACTGTGCATGCTCATGTAATGCTTGCATATGTTGCATGCGATCATTTCAGTGGAAGCAGGTTTCTCAGTGGTGTCTGCAAACACTTGCAGACTTCCTCTGTGCTTGGCTCTTTCTCTCAGTGTGAGACAAGCACTAGAAGAAGTCTGATGAACAGGCATGGACTGGATTCTGGCGAGGTTCAACACATCCTAATTTTGGCAGAAGACAGACTGCTGTAGATCTCTTAGATCTACAACATTTTATGAAAAACGCAAGAACATGATGTGGATAACTAGAAACTAACTACTTGCAGAAAAACAACTGGCTGACTTTGGATCAGTCACAGACTCTTAGCCCTACGTACCTCACAGGATTTTTGTTGTTGAAAGGAGGAAGAGAATTATGTAAACCCCCTGAGTTCCTTGAAAGGAAAAAAATAATATAAATAATATACCAAGCCTTTTCACTGCCTTTCAGGCACTAATACAGTGGAACCTGCAACAGCTACCTCAGAAGTACAAGATACAGGAGATAGCAACCAGATTTTGTATCATCTTCAGTAGTCAATCCATATTTTGTTTAATTCCTGCATAATTCCAACAACAAGGGTTGGTGCCTGTCCCCAATAGAGGCTTTTAAAAAGCCATGCATACCATTTGAATTCTAGCATCACAGAGTGCAGCTGTAAAAGAATATATGTTTATCAAAGGCCAGGGTTTTGACTGAAGAATTTACAGTGTTTATATTTACAGAACTAAGTCAACCATCATCTGAATATGTGGTTCTTCAAGCTGAGTTGAAAAGAATAGAGCTTGCTAGAAAGCTTGAACATGAAGAGTCTGAAACTCATAAGCAGATCTTAGAAAAGCAGTTACAAAATGAGGTAAACTACCATTTTGTGAATTTACACTAATCTGCGTGTAGAACTTTGGCAATGAAGCTTTTACTCAGAATAATTTTCCAGCATGAGAACTAATGAAACACATTTTCGCATGTATCTGATTTCAATAATTTCCTCAGTCTGAATTCTTAAAAGTAATTGTTAAAGGTAATTTAGAAAACCTCTGCATACAACATGCTTAAGGGTGTAGGCAGCTGAGTTTCTCTAAACAGGGCAGGGTGGGGAGTCTGCATATATGCGGTCTAATGTTAATTCTGCCTAAAATAGAACCACTGAAATAAATGGAACTTTAGTTAGTTAATTTATGATCTATGCATTTTATTGAGTCTACACCTTACATTCTTCACCTCTTCAGGTGGCACAATGTCACTTTAAATATAAATAATGCTGCTTAATGCCTGGGCAGCTGTAGTCAGGTACTTGTGCATGGGCAGCACATACTGTGTATTTATTTTCCCTAAACTTATTTTTATAAAGATTGCTGAAAATAATGTATATCAAATAGTATTTAGGGTGACACAAAATAATGTGGCTGCCCCTCCAGAAAATACATATTGAGTACTTACTATATAAATTACTAACATCTTTGAAATTGTAAGTCATATTTTCTTTGAAATCTTTTTAGGTTGATCGTTGTGTAGAACTGAAGTCCCAACTGTCAAATTGTGAAAATGTGATCAGAAAGTTGAATGCACAAATGGAAGACCTGAAATTACAACTGAAACAAACACAGACAGGTTCAAAGATTTCTCCATTCCCTCTTCTTTTCTTAGGGAAAACAAGTAGATTATTTCCTGTGGTATCTCTTCAAAACTGAATAGGAATGAAATAAAAAATGTGAACTTTTATATACTTAAGTAATTTTGTTTTCTAAATATAAATAACTTTAGTATAAAGAACAAGACCTGTTAAATTAAAACTTAGAAAAATCATTAGGACTAGTAGTATGCTTTTAATGCTGTTGTGGTGTCAATAAAATTTTCTGTTGATCTTGTTTAATTGCAATGGCTTGAAATAAGTTTGAATACTTAGCTATTTGAAAAAATGTTTGAATTTGTGTGTAGAAGCATCTTTACAACCGTACTGCCTAATTTTCATGCTAATTATATAAGCAAATTAAACCTGACAGTCATAACTTAATTTTTAAAAATCTCTTTGTAAATTCTAATCTGTCTAGCACTAGAGAATGAAGTATATCGGAATCCTAAGCCCTCGTTGGTTGATCGTTCTGTCATTGACTTGATTGGTGACAAGACTGCACCTCATGATGTTTATATTGATGGTGCTTTCTTGAAAAAGTATCCTGTGGCTAATATTGGAATTGAAAATGCTGCAAGTCCCAATCATCACCATCATGTACTGAGATCCAGCACTTCACCAGATTCTGATTTAGAATTTGTAGCTAATACGAAAATTAGAATAAAAGAATTGGAGAAAGAAGCTGCATATTTAGAAGAGGCCTATAAGAATTACCAGTATCGAGTCACTCATAGTACAGCTGGCCCAGCAAAGACTGCATTCTCTTCAGCCTTGCCAAGTGACTTGACTGTGGCATCTCGCCCAAGACAGTATGATCTGTGCTCCCCGGCATTACCCCTTCTCTGTCAAAAAACTAAAAGCTATAACTGGACACCAGGAAATGGGGATCACTTGAAAGATTATTTGACTCCTCCCCCAAAAACCCCCTCTTCATTCAGACGTTTGTCTTCAACGCCTGTCTCCAAGAGGAAGAGAAATATTCGTAACAAGCTCTTTTCTGAAGGTAAGTGATTGGCTATTCCTTAACTATGGTAGGTATTTTTGGGTTTGTTTGCTTTGTATGAAAAGCAGAAGTTCCTGATACTAGGGTTTGGAGCCAAGACAATCTGGTATTCCCCTTCTTAGTCCATTTCCATTTTCTGCACTGCTGGAATGGAAATGTCATTTCTAACCTTCAGTGCAGCATTCCATGTATGAAACTGCTAGCCTTTATTGTTGCCAAGCTCCCTCTAACCATTTTGTACACAATTCACTCTGATAAAATTCTTACTTCTTCCTGTTGAATACATTTTGAAATAAATTTGAAGTCAAGCAGGTATAGTACAGTACTTGTGAAAAAACAATTTCTAGTTATAATATTCTTTCAAGGCAGTTTACAATAAAGCAACATAAAATGTTTGAAATATAATACAATCACTGTGTTTGAATATACATAGGAAATATTGGCAGGCTTTGGACAACACAAGCCCCTTGGACTACTCTTTTTTACTTCAGATAAGACATCAGTAGGTTTCCTGATGTGCGTGTTGAGTAATACCAGATTGCCTAACTCCTACAGGCATTCTTGTCGCACTCTGAACCAATTGAAACTTCCCCAGCACATACTCATTACAATAAACTAGTCAGGCTCTAACCGTTGCATCTGTCACTAAGGTAAGATCTGGCTTCTTTTGGTAAGGCAAGAGTTGGCAAATCAGCCAAAGCTATTAAACTGCCCTCTCGGCTACTGGTGGGACCTGCAGCTCCCTAGAAAGTGTTGAGTCCAGAAATGAAGCCATTTAGTGCAAGTCCAAACCCACCTAAGAGAGCATCCAGATGAGCATATTTCCTGATCCACACTTCTGTTTTGTCTGGATTAAGTTTGTTTTGTTCTCAACCATGCTATAACTGCTCCCCACGTTTCCATCACTTCTTGATATCAGAAGCATGTCATCTGTGTACTGAATCGAAATTTCAGAATGATTTAATCCAGCATTGTCATGTATATGTTAAAAAATATAAGGGATCAGATGTAATCTTGAACACCACGATGGCCATGGGTGGAACAGAAATTCTTGAGCACTACTTTTGCTTCCTACCCTTCAAGTAGAATTGAAACCACTGCCCAATCAATGCCCAAATTGCTGAGAAGATCCAGAGTAACAGCATTGTTAATGTAAAAAACTACTTGAAGAACACTGAAAGAGTCAAACTTTCTCCTCTGTTTCCCAGTGCAGTTCATCCAGGCAAACAAAGCTGTCTTCTCAACCCGGGTCAAAAGCTGAATTGGAATAATAACCAGTGTTTTCTAAGATTTCCTGAGCTGACAGCTCTTTGATTTGCTTAGAAATTGCAAATAAAAAATTGGGCAAAAGTTTTCCAAAACCATGGCATTTAAAGTTTTTTTTTTCCAAAAGTGATTTTATCACTGTCTCCTTCAAAACTATTGAGATCACACCATTTTTTGAAAGGGTTTTACTACAGCTGACACCCATAAAGAGCCATCTGCACAGTAGGTGTTGACCTTGAGGTTTCATCATATTCACTGGAGCAGAGACAACTCTGTGCCTTGCCTGATGATATTTGAAAATTTTTATGTCTGTAGCCTAGGCCATGTCCTGTTTTTAGGAAGTTATTCTACTTTTCACTTTGGTATATTCAGCATTCAGTGTTAGGAACCTCTTCTGATCGCCTTCCTAGTTCAAAGGACACATTTTCAGAACACTTCATTGCAATTTCATTTAAGATATTTAAAGAAGGTCCACCAACTTTATTATCTGTAGGGACAAATGATTCTCCTCAGTGTAAGGCTTACGAGAGGTTACACATCACCCCATTGTTGCTGAATAGTTTATTTTAGCAGGTACTGGAACCATTCTTAAAGAATTCTGATTTAATTAAACATTTTAACATTGCTAATGTTTGAACATTATACCCTAGTTTGTTTGTTTTTTATTTATTTAGAGTTTTTGTATGCCGTCCCATTGCTTAATGCCTCGGGATGGCTTACATAAATAATGTAATGGAAAGTTTGTAATGGAAAGGCTTTAAGGACTCGTTGCATAATAAACTTGGTGAATATTGTCATGTAGTGTGGAAGGTATTTACTATTTTATAACTTATGATAGCTAAAGAGGCCGAATCGAGTAAGAAAAGTGGTTGTCTTCTGTTCTGCAGATCCAACTGATTCACCTAGTGTTGCTCCCCTTCAAAATGTTGATCATCCACTCTCTCCTATTCTGAGAATAGGGAACTGTTCACCTTCTGAATCTGCTTCTAATACATCAGCTGCATCTTCAGCACTAGGCGAACACAAATTAAGGTAATTATTTTATATGGTATTTTGTTTTAAATATGTGCTTGTGAAAATCTCTTTGTAAAGATCCATACTTACTATATATTTCTTGGTACTCTTATTCAAAGGTTCTTCCAAACATGCTTTGCCCACAGGTATTTTAGTAGTCATACTGAGTCAATTTCCTTGTGTATTGATTTTTCTGTATACATTACCTTCATAAGCATGGGGGAAAGCAAAACTTTCTGACAATAATGATGTCACTGACTGACAAGTTATTGTAAGGGAAAGCAGCCAGAACAGTGTGATCCCTCTCATTTTTGCCTTTTCCTTCTTAGTGTCTTGTGCATTCCCATCAGCTGGAACTCTATTTCCCCCACTTTAGCTATGTCCATCAAACAAACCTTAAAACTTTCCGGCTCTCAAGTATCTGCTTTGCAGAGGTGAATAAAAGGGGTGCTTAACTTCTGTCTGAATTCTGAATATGTTGGTATATATTCTGAGAGCTGTATTCCTTGGGGGATGGTAGTCTGAACTAGTCTGGAAGGGGTAAGTGATTCTCAAATTGATTTAATCTAGGACCCACTTGTTCATCTTTTTGTCAGCCCAGGGTATATGCAAAGTTCTCCTCAAAGGCATCTTCCCGTCAGCTTTGTTCAATCTCCAGATTACACACAAATACACATTGTTAGGGGATACAGTAGTATGGATGCTCTTTTCCTTGGTCTAAAGTGAAACATCTTTACACTTGATGAACTTGTCTAGTTTCTTCATGGTTGCCCTTCCAAGTCTCAGTCTTCAAATTTCTTGGCTCCTCCATTTGATTTGATGACTGAGCCAAGACGCTCCCTTGAGCATGCATCTTAACACAATGAGGAGTTTTGAGAGTGTCAGAGAAGCCAAAAGCAATGACTCCAACATGCTAGACTCTCTCACTAGGCATAGCAGAGTCATCCAAGGCAGAACGGTTGAAGCTGCAGACTAAGATGCATCTACCCTCTTCAGGAGTAACAGTCACATCAACAGAAGAGAACAGATATCTGTAATAGTGATAGGGATGGAAAAACTCCAGAAAGGCAGCTTGTGGGCTGGAGTAGTAATTGAAGGATCTTTCATAGACAAGGATCTGGTGGAGGATCTTTCATAGACAACATCTGTGACATTCAGCCTAACTCTGGTTAGTGATGTGCAGAAAAAGGCAATGGAAAACTACTACTTGAAAACCCAGTGCAGAAAAATCCGAAATGAAACAAGGAAGCCAGACCTATTATTTAACATAATGTTGCATTCAGAGAAATTGAGCAAAATGTTGCCTAGAGCTTATTACATTCTTTTAGTTGACATAATTGGTGGGTATTTATAGGTTATTTATACAAAGACTGTAGCAGGCAGTAGTTTTGAAATCTTGGCTACTGTCTACATTTTGGGCATAGGAATGTAGAATAATGTTTAGCTTTTACCAGTTCTATGACCAAAGCCTCTCTCAATGATCTCCGTTACACATTTACAAGAAATCCTGGCTATTTCCTAGCAAGGGTACATGTAGAGATGAATGTATTTGCCCCATTTCTTTCTGTTGTTCCATGGGTTGGTTCTGTCCAACGTTCCATTCCAACCTGATTTCCAGTTCTATTTTTAGGATTTCTAAAATTAATTTCAAAATTGGCATATGCCATTTGCCACACCTCTTTTTCCCTGCTTATGAATTAGAAATAACCAGATTTTTTAAAATTAAACTTAAGCAGACTGCCTTTTTATATGTGACAGACTCTTACTTCCTCTCTATATCTGGGTTCAGGGAGATACAGTTTTTCTGATGCAGAGGACTGAGTCATTTACAGTCAATGCAGTAAGTTTCTAAAAATGTTCATAGATTTTACATTGAAACATTTAGACGACTATTAAAAGCACTAGTTTAGAAAGTTTAAAACAGAAGGCAAGGCAAAGCAAAGTGAACATATTATTAAAATGGTTTTCTGCTAGCAGAGGTTACCCCTGCTTGGAATGACCACATCCTGAATCTTCCCTTTGCATTTATAATTTTTTCACAGCTAAACATGGTATGCTATATGAATGCTTATTGTATTCTGAGTAGCCACTGTATTCTCAATCCTGTTATTCCTTATTTATTTATATTCCTTGATATCTTGTTAGTATTTCTATAGTTCTAGAATAATTCCCTTATTTATATTCTCTGCTTTTGATATATCTAGGGCATGAATCTTATTGAGTAAAATATTTTATTGTAATCTCTTTTCCCTGAGTGGAGCTGCTTGCTAGTGATAGGTCAAAATAATTTTGATATATCTGAGCTGAGCAGCGTGTTAACATTGCCTCAAAGTTCATTTAAGAACCCTAAACTTGAGGAGAATTTTTCAGGCTACTAGCATAAGGTAAGATAATAGAATTCTAAGCTTATCTTCATAGGGAATATGCTCATTGGGTATTTTTATCTTGTCCAGTTTATCAGAAACAAATAGCAGAAACAAGTAGGTAAAGTTAAGCATGGAAAAAACAGAGTTGTTTTGTTTGTTGCGTTTCAGATTCTGGTTCAGGAGGTGATTAATGATTCTTTGAGCAAAAGAGCAGACTCAACCAACTTGAGGGATGCAGTTTTATAAGCATTGGATTTTAACAATTGCAATAACTGTTGCCCAATCATAAATTCACAATTTTATGGCATATGACTTGAAGGAGGTAGCAGTTCAACTCCAGGCATTTCTGGATGAAAAGAATGAGCCAAATCAATTTCCGATTGGATTCAGGCCTGGTATTAGCATGGAAACAACATTGTCACCCTGAGGCATAACCTTTCTCAGAAGAGAGCCAGAATGCAAAGAAGTGCTATCAATATATTTATGACACCTTGCTTCTTTTCTTCTTTTGTGTAGGTAAAGCTGTTCTGGTGCAGAACCAAAATTTGATAGTAGGCTAGACAGGAATGGGAAACACCTGGCTTGTGGGATAGTTTTGTGGTTCCCACTAGGTCTTCTGCCTCTGTGGTACAAACCCCACCTTTGTGGTACTGCTGAACTTCCAGCAATCCTACCTATGCACTCTATTCCCTGGGAGAATTGCTGGCTCTGCAGAAAATGGTACAGAGCATTGTGTGCCCTGTTTTTCTGCAAAATCATGCTCCTCACTCTTAAGCTGAGTGTCTGCTCCAAGTGCCTTCCTTATTGAGTGTGTGCTGCATAAGTACAGTGGAGAAAGCTTTATCAGTGAGTGCACCCTGGCTTTGGAGAGCTATTCCAAGGAGATGACACCTAGTTTACAAGGCCTTAGATATCATTCTTGACCAAGGCATTTTAACATAGCACTGATATGGAGATAGCTGTGAATATCTTTTTCATTCCATTTTCAAGGCCATGACTGATTGTTTTACCTTTCATTCCAGTCAGAGTGCCGCTTCGTACTTCAAACTTAATAAGCTTCAGGAGTCCTTTTGAACCCTGAATTGTTCAAAGTCTGAAGCAATTTGCCTCATTAGAAATAATGGAAAGTTGAATTAATCCATTTCTAGACCCATTTCAGTAAACTTAAACAGCAGATATGACCTCATGAAATGAATTAAGTTCAAGGTTATATATGAAGTGTGATTCAAAAATACGATGAATGTTTAAAATAAAAATGCTGCAACTGCATTTTTTCACTTTGCTTGCACTTTGAACTTAGAAGCATCATTTGAACTGTGGGACAATTTTATCTCAACTTTGAACTCTGGATCATTCAAAGTTAGAGTCATATGAACTATGAGGCACCACTGTACTAGCTTGGGGATTCATGTAGTTTTCCCTCATCAGGGCCATGTAAGAGGAACTGGAGACCTAGCGATCCAAAGCTTTTTCTGATTTGCTTTAACATGCTTCTTTTCATCCCTTGTCAACTTTATTGTGGAGGACGGTGGTGCCAGCCATGGAGCTTTCTGCTACCTCTACAAGGAAGCTTTTCACGGGTGGACCTCATCTTCCATGCATGGGAAGTGAGGAAGTTCTGCAGTATCTTACAGCCTTTAGCCCATAGTAATGTGCACTAGATGTAAATAAAATTCTTTGGTTTTGTAGTTCCTTTTTCTGTCCATATTTACATTATGCAATTTGTTGTATGTTGCCTACAACCTGAATTTGATGCGAGAACAGTATAACCATGTTTTTGAATAAAATAAATACATAAATATTCACTTGAAGGTCAGTGTTGTCAGCATTGTTAAACGAGAAGAACCAGGAGCCTTTATACCTATCAAGTTTTCTGGATATAACTGCCATTCATTTCAGTGGATCCTTTGTCATGGTTTGCTCTGACAATCTGCCTATGTTTATACTGTAGGAGGTTTTCTAAATTGAATGTTTTCCCTTGCACTCTGTCCTTTTAGTCTTCATCAAAATCAAGATGAGAATCACAGTGTTAGTGATGCTGCAAATCCTGAAAAGATTTTGCATGAACAGCTTGAAAATCACGACTCTGACAGTAAATGTAAGTTTTCAGTGTTTCTTTTAGAATAAGCAGTACAGAATTTTCAATATGTAAGAGCTACTTCTGATTTTATTAGAAGAGAGAATTGCATGAGCATTTGTCTTAATTTCTGTGTTTTCAATAGCATTTCAATTTGCTAAAGGTAAATAACATAACTTGCTTTTTGAGCCTTTTCTCTTTTACCCAGAACTTTTGTGATGTGCTGTGTCTGTACTGTCTCTAGTCTCAAAAACTTACTCTCCAATTAATGCAGGAGGCCGGCTAGCTTTGAGGAGGCCCCACCTCCAGAGCCAGAAAAGCAGACACCACTAAACTTCCTGTAACTTCCCCAAAAGTCTCCTGTTGCTTTTCCTGCCTTGTGGTTTGGTGCAGGAGCAAGAGCAACAAGAAATAGAAAAGTAGAGAGAGAGTGGGGGAATGCCAGGCTAAGGCTGAGTTCCAACAAGGAGGCTGAGAGAAAGCCTTCAGCAGCTGAGTTAGGCTGAATGCCACTGCTGTTGTCTATGAAAGAGCCTCCACCAATGTCACCTTCAATTGCTGCTACTGTCCAGGAGCTGCCCCTCTGGAGTTTCTCCACCCCTATCACTATCACAGGTCCCTGTGAGAACATAGCGTTGTATCTGTTCCATTTAGGCCTTGCTCTCTGAGAAAAATGGATATTGGTTGCCTGCTTCATCAGGTAACTGCACAAATGTATTGCCCTGGCTTACAGATGAGAGGCAATATCATATATAATGTTAAGCCAGTTCCACTCCCTTGTATTGGATGCAAAATCTAGGAAAATGAACTCGGCTGCGCAATAACTCTCTTTCTCTTCCTCCGTATGCCTCTGTGTGCATGTGTGTGTGTGCATACGAGAGAGAAATATTTTCGTTAGTATCATCTACCCATCACTACAATCCAGCAGAGGTATGTGAACAGTGTATTCAGAGAAGTAAAAGTGTGCAGACGATGTGCAGATTACATTAATCAACCTTCAGTGAGCCCTGTTGGAAGCTGTCCTATAACTAAGTGTGGAGGAGTGCTATGAGAAATGCTGGTACTCTGCTGAGATGGGTGCATAGATGATGTTTGTCAAAGCCTGGAAATGAAAACAGCAATAGTTTTTCTTAGAAAAGGTGAGAAAAAGTTTTGAGTCAAAAAATGCAAAACAAGCCCAAAGAATTAGAACAGTATGTATATAAGGATATGAAAGGAGTATGGCATAAGATTGCTGCATACACAAACTGTAACCTATGTTGTACTTTTTATTTGGTGGAAGGCTAGTTTAAAATTTCACCAATAAAGGTAATGGAGTTGCTGTGTCTCCAGTTCTTTGTTGACTCAATTTTATATGTCAAGAGATGAAAGAATGAATGGAGTGCTTGTGAGTGTGCATATATGTATGATGAGTTTCCATGCAGTAGATGTGTGTGCAGCATGTGCTGCACGTTACAGTGATGAAATATGTACCAGCTACTTATGACTACCAGAGTGGAGATTAATTTTATATATTAATAAGGGGAAGAGGTGGCTGTTTTCTGACTACTACTATAACAGAAAAGTATGTGTATGGTGTTGGAAGGGAACACACAAGGTGGAACAGCTGGGAAATAACATTACACTTGCAGGTCCTAGAAAACATGCTAAAGCAGTTTGAGAAGAGGCAAGCTGTAGGATAGCTGAATGTTCTTTGTCATACGGAAACTGATCATACATTTGTAGACCCTTCATATTCTGCACCAACTTTTGCAGATTTTGAATTGCAGAAGCCCACATTGAGCAGAAGCTGTATGACTGCTTTGTTTAACAAATGTATTGTACAAGTTAGTTTTCAAGCCAGCCAATCCCATGATTCTGATTAAAGCAGCAATGCAACTGTTTGAAGTTTATTCATTCTCAGGGTAATGGTTAGGTTGGCCAAGAAGAGAACTTAATTAATGGTTTACACACAGGCATTCTGAACTCCAGTTATTCCCACACTGTGTCCATTTTTTGGTCCGGCTTTGATAATTGCAGAATAATGAGGACATTGTTTATACATCTCCTCTAGATCAAGAGGACATTCCAGAACATCTCAGAAGCCATGTGTCGCATCCGTCTGGGGACATTGTTAGCAAGAACCACATTTCAGCCGCTGTATCAGCAGCAAGCACTTCACAGCAAGACATAAGTGAGTTTTTGTCACAAATGTGTGCATATCGTTTTTAGATCATTTGCAGAAGTGGATGTTTATGCCCCATCTTTCCTAAAATAGACAAAATGCTCTTTCTTAAGCCCACAATTGTTCATAATAGGGAAATACAAGACATGGTTCATGATTGCAGGCTTGTAATATGACTGCTTTGGGCTAGTTGTGTGTCTATAATAATTGAAAATGCTAAAGTATAATCTAAATGTGCTATTACTTTAAAACCCATCAATGTTTGCTAATGATGGGGATGTTTTATTTTATCACATCCATCTCCAAAATTCCCATCATGTTCATTGGCAATATTGAAATAGTTGTCCTGAGCTTCTAGTAATTGTTAGGCACCTGGCAGATGAAATTAAGTAAATTCAGTTCATGACTTCGGGCCCGAAAGGAGTTAAGGGTGTCAGTTTGATGTGAATTCAGCAAATGAAAAAATACAGTGACCAAATTATACATTTTCCTTTTGTGTTGAACCAGTTATATTTTGTGCATGTGGAAGTATTAAGACTATTGGACAAATAAATAGTCAGTGGCAAGTGGGTGTGGCCTGTTACCCACTCCCTACCTAAGGGCAAGTAATCCTATTTTACTTTGAGGATCGGGCAACAAAAGTAGAGGGAAGTAAATGCCAGTACTCAAGTATAGAATTTAGATTAAATGCTCTTTTTCTGTATTGATATTAGTCTTTCTGTCTGCTAATAAAAGTATGCTTGCTAGAATATACTTACTATTTGTTTTAACAGCACAACCATATAGTTTAGGTTTACCATGGTATGTGCAGCTAAGATATTTTTAACAATATTTGTTTCAGTGCTGCAGAATGCATAATTACACATTTCTGCTCAACTGGAAATATTTTCCCATTTGTTTTAGGTAGAGGAAAGATAACTGTAGAGGGACAAAAACTTCCTGAAGAAGAGGACCAAAAATGGGAAGAAGAAAGAAGAGAACGAGAAGAAAGAAGGCAGAGAGAAAGGCAAGAAGCTTGGGAAAGAGAGAAAGAAGAACTGGAAAAATTGAATGAACAATGTGTAATGCATTTAATTTTAATATATATCTATATCAGAAGCAAGACCTTTTATAAAAATTCATATCATTAACATGGGATTACACAGAAATGCTTATGGAGACAGAGGCAGTATAGTAGAGTGATTATTGCTTGTAGTGTGCACATTTTGATGCCCTAAAAATAAATTTGACCAGACACATTTTATGTCTGGTCAAACCAGTTATTAAAATACTTCTGAGAGTATTGTTTGGCTTTATATAGTGTGAAACAGAGCTAGCACTGTTATACTTGATGCATATATGCATTAGTTCGACAGTTGTAGGTTGTTACTGGAAGATTGCATTATTATACGCAGAACACGTCATAGATTGTAAGGTTTACTTAATAGGTGAAACATTGTACCTGTATCCACATAAATTTAAAGGTAAAGCATGCAATGTTTTCTTTAGGAGAGACTAGATGAGATTAGACACAGTTAGCCACCTGCTCTAGGCAAGTTTATTACCACACTGACAAGATATGGGAAAACTAATGCAACCAGAAAAAAAAGCAGTGAACAGATTTTTTCCTGTTCTGTTGCCACTCAAAATGATTGGATAATTATGAAGTTCTTGATGATGGATCAAGACTATTTTTTCCTCCAAAGCCCAAAGTGAAAACTATTTTAAAATGCCCTTTACGTCTAGTTTACATGAGCCCCAGCTGAAAGATAAATTAACTTACGTGTGTGTGTGTGTAAAAGAATGTGCACATAGATACTGTTCATATGTTAATGCAGGGAAAATAAACTACATTGAATTCGTTCACATGACATGCTAGGCCACTGCGGGGGTGGCTTTGCATGTCAGATGAAATCCCTTAATTCTTTGTGGGAGCGTCTATAAGCCAGCCCAAGATGGCTTATAATGCACCCCATACCCATGGCTTTTTCCTGTATTTAGTAAACCCATTGTGGCTTACTGTCAGCTGAACCTGGACAGCATTCTAAGCCACAGTCAAGTCAAAATACTATAGAGTCCCAAAAAGGATTGCTGCTCTGAGCAAGGGCCTTCCCTAATGACAGCTGGCAAAGTGCACAAGCAGCACTTTATGCAACTGTCACCATTCTGCCCCCTTGCACTCCAGCCAATAGCAGGAGGGCAGGATTGCTCATGAGCAATCCTGGTCTCCACTTGGCATCAACTAGAAGCTGCTGCACAAGGGGGAAATGAGCCTTCTGGCACAAGCCTTCAAAGGTCAGCACCAGATGGTTTATTTCCAATAGTGTCTCAGTTGTAAGGGCTACAGCAACAAAGGAGGAAGCCAAACAGAATCGCTCGTTCCCAGCTGAACACAGCATCCTCCAAACAGGCAAGGTTGGGGGAAGTAATATCTGCTGGCCTGGTGAACTTGTTGTATGGATCATCCTGTGGCAGATGGGGAAGGTGAGGAGGAATATCCTTCCCCGTGTTTGGCAGTGCTGCCTCATGTTCCTGCTGATGCTTGGAGAACAGGGTTGCTCGCAAGCAGTCCCACTTTCCTGACATCAGAAGAAGCATGGGAAGACAGCCACTGAAAGTATCTAGGGGGCACTTTTGGGCAGCTGCTATTCCTATTCCTTTCACTGTGATGTCCTTTAGGTGATACATGAAGGAAGACTTCATGGGGATGGGGAAGAGGCACCCTGACGTCCAGTACCCAATGGTCTGTCAGGCTCGGGAACTTTTTGAGAATTTTAAGCACATGTTTCAAATTCCCTAAGTGTTTAAGGTTTTGCACAAACCCACCCACTGCGCCTTATTTGTCTGATTGCATGGACCTGGCCAAAAAGTGTTTACAATATACTACCACCAATTTAGAACCGTTTCTTGTAGATAGTAATTTAAGGTTCCTCTATAGGATGCTTCTACATGTTTAAAATGTTCATTTCCTTTGTTTCTGGTAAATATTTTTTTTTGTTTTACTTAAGCATCAAGAATCATTGGAGATTGAGAAAAAACAAAATGAAGAAGTAACAAACTTGGAAGCCAGTCTGTCAAAATCAGAACAACATGATGGAGGTCCTATGTCTAATCCACTTGAAAAGTACATGAAAATAATACAGCAGAATAGAGAGCAAGAGCTTGCAAACAAGGTAACTTGTATTAATGTAGATAGTGTGCTTTGAAAGAAATGTTCTTAGAATGAGGATGCAGGGTTTTGTGTCACAATTTCTCAGCAGCTGTCTTGTTTCCTTTTTCTCATTGGATAAGCAGGCATGCAAGGAGGTTGTCAAACACAACTGGCTAAAGGATAGAATAATGCCTTTGCTTTGTTTAAATGACAAAGAAGTTTTGCACAGTGTTACCTTTTATTGTACAGGAAGCTCAGGACAGAATATACACCCTGGTTTTGCTTCCTCTTGCTGAAGTTCCATCTGAAGTCCAATTCTGTGCATGTTTAGATAGAAAAAAAATCTTCCAACACAGAGCATTCCATAGCCTACTATGCTTGTCGTGGAAAGCTGGAAGTTAACAAACATATTTTCTTTATAAACATGAGTAACATTGTACTCTTAAGCAGCCAGTTTACAATTAGTAGATAAACCAGTTCCTTTTGATAATAAGTAACAATAATTACTTAATATATTTTATATTGATGTAAAACTTGCAGATTTTTTTTGATACAAGGAAACCACAACACAACTGTGTTAAACTCAAAAGTTAACCCTATTGAACTAAACTAGAGATTGGCCTTCAATGATTGATACAAATGATTGATGCTACCTTCCTCACTTAGTCATGCACGTGTTGCTTGTACGCTTTCTTGCTGTATGATATGAGACCAAAAAATGGAACATGTCATACTAAAAAGTGGTTGAATCTTCTGGTTGAGCATCAAAACCTTCTGCAGGTGCATTGTAACTTTCAAGGCTGAGTGCCACAAGCAGTCACAATGACTAGGAAGTACAGTAACTTGTTTCTGCTGATTAGCTCTCCTCACTATTACATGTCAGTATTTAATGGCATGCCAGTGTGGGACAATTCAGGGTGCCCTGCTTGTTTTTCTAACATTAGTATTCTTAGAGTGTTTTTGGTCATTTCATTCAATGATTACATCTCACAAATCAAATAAAGATGACTTGAATTGGTGAGGATGCTGGAAAAATGAATATTAATTCTGTCTTTTTAGCATTGCCACATAAATGCGCTTAAGACGCATTTCACCTTTACCTGCAGATCAATATAGACCACGTAACTTTGTCTGGAAAGTTCCAGTCAAAGGAATGCATCAACATCACATATTGAAATATGCCAGACTTTGTTTGTAATATAACCATTTCAGTTACAAAGCTGTTTGAATATCAGTTTGCCTTTTTTGGAATAAAGCAAAACCCTTTCCAGGAATAAGGTATTGTGTGACAAATGGTGATGTATTGAAATAGCCACATGAGAGCGCTGACAAAGCCAAGCGAAGTACTTTTCAGTTCCTTCTCTCACCTTGAACTCTCTCTTGCAATAGCCATTCCATTTAGTGATCATAAATGAGTTTGTTTTTCTCTTCCCCCTTTAATATGGCAATTGATTTGGAGGGACCTGATCTTGTACAGCACTTGGGAGTAAATCCTTTATTCAGCATTTAAAATACTGTTTCAGTAGTTTAAGAGGTGCTAAAGCACCCAGTAAGTTTCTTTTTTTCTGTTAGAACTCCTATAAAGAAGAAGTTGAAGTTCCTTCTGAGAGAATCCCAGGCAGCGAAAAAGAAGACAGGCATGTATCTTTTGGGTACTGGTTTGTAGTTTGCACTGTGTCAGATTTTGACTTATCTGTTAAGTACTCTGAATTTTAGGCTTCTTGTGTGTTGTAGTAGATATCACATCTGCTTTCTCTTGTCTGGTAAACTTATAGCAATTTTATTAGTAGAGTCAGCAGATAGGAACTTATCTAAACTATCGTCTTAACTTTAACAAGAGTTTAAAAAAATATATCAAACACATTGCTATAAGTTTCAAATACAATCTTTCCACTGAAGGAAGTGTGAGGGTCTGGGTGATGTACTGAATTCGTGTTTGCTAATTTCCCCTGCAGTTCCAGGGAATTGGGAAACCTTTCAGAGCACTGTTACAGGTGGCACTGGGAGCTGTGGGGAGCAGGGGGTGGGGTACTATCACTTCTTCCACAAATAGGAGCTCCTGGATAAGAACACATTCCTTTCATGTAAGAACAGCTTTACCTCCAAATCAATTAATGTTGTCTTGTTGGATATAATGCTGCTCTTTTTATTAAGCTATATAGCACTTAATAGTACAAGGCTCATTCCATGGGTGAAAGAAAAGCATGAGGGAGGGAGATGGGACTTCCCACAAAAAATGCAAGTTACATTGCAGGAGCTTTTCCCTAAATCTGTTATCTGTTCTTCAGCTTTAGTGCTGCAGGTACTGATGAAGAAGGAGATGAAGATTTCTGGTAAACATCAGCTACCAGTAACTACCTGACCATTAAAAACGGACTCATTTATAGAAGCGAAAGCTCAAGGCAGCAGAAAGCTTGATCCTGCATAATACAGTTCCAGTTGCAAAGTAATTAACAAAGAAGAGTGCTTCTCCATTTAAATCTATTTGAATGATATTTTTTTTTAGAATTCATCTTGCAGATGATCAAATATATTCCCTATGTCATGAAATTTGATTTCTTTCTTTCTGGGCAGTTTAATCCTAGGATTATTTTATTGACTATTGACTGTGCTTCCAAATGGTGAAAATTTTCCATAAATATATCCATGTTTTCTTTTTTCCAAGGTCATATTTTTATTTAGCATTTTTATAAAATGGGCAAGAGCAAATATGGAGCCAAGTGCTTTTTTAAAAATAGCATATGTAATTGTGACTATTCCTATTAAAGCTCATAGTATTTAAATCTAAATACATTCACTTGATGTTAATGTTGCTCCATCCTCACTACTAGATACTGCAGAAAAAGTGCACTGAGTAAAAGCTTCCTCAAGCAACTGCTTCAACTAGCATGGGTTTGTTTTTCCAGCTGCAGAGAGGCTAACAGCAGTTCTATGGTCTCTCCCTTTACTACACAGAAGCCTCTGAACATGGAAGCTTACATGTATTTGATGCAAGGCATGAAGTACAGTGGTGGTGATCTTCAGCCCCTTGCACCTCACACCTTGCTTTTCATCTAGGCAGCCTTTTTCAGCCATCTAGATGAAGTGCTGCACAAGGAAGGAAAGGAGGCTTGTGAGATGTTTAGGATACAACATATGCCATCAGCCCCACCCTCCTCTTTTCATCCCTGGCACAGCTTTTAGTTGGAAAGGCGGCTGGTATAGCTCTGGCTGCAAGGAGAAGTGGAGTTCCAAATAAACCTGTCTTCTCCCCACTCCCCAGGCAATCTCAGGCAGCCACGGGACTGTACTGTAAGGCAGCTAACCTGTACAGTATCTTACAAAAATGAAAAATGGGCTGAACACTCTTGTTGTGGATAAGAGCTGCTTTCAAAAAGATAATTACAAAGCTTGTGGGGTTGGGTATTGTGGAAGAGCTGATTTTAACTTGTTTCATACAGTTCCAGAGGATTGACTTGCAGACTCAATTATACCTTAGGTCATACCGTTGACCTTTTTCCTCTAAAATTAGAACTCCTGCAGATGATTTCAGATCTGTCCCTGAGCATATCCAGAGGTGAGAGGGCACTCCTCTGATTTGCATATTCCTCCTAACAGGCTTCACCAGGAACATAGTTCTTCAGAGACAAAACATTCTGCTTTACCATTCTGAAACATGTTGAAAACAGGATTTTGCAAATGAGCAGCTTGAATTTTTTTCTCATATCTTAGAAACGTAGACTGTTGCAAGTGTAAAAGCTCTACAGTGCAATACCACCCTGTTTGTTTTTTCTGACAGATATTCAACCAGCACACACATTTGAAATTCCAACCCATTCTAGAATACCCACACAGAAGGTCACTACATAAGAACCACATGTGGTAGTTCGAGTTGGTAAAGATTCTTTTCCAAAAAAAAAGCAAAGCGGAAAAAGATCATCTTATTTACCCACAGTTTTTAATACATACAAAACTTCTAATTGTGTGCCACTCAAACATTAGAAAGCGGCTGCTTATCTTAGAGAATTTTTAAAATAAGTATACACGAACATTGGTTCTATTATCTACAAATATTTATTGTAACACTTGGGAATAACTACAGGAAGCCCTTGGCACTGATAGAAAATATTGATTCACGGTTAGGTTACAAAAATTTATACATAGCAAAATTGAATGCTCTTTACATAAAAAATATTAGACTACTTCAACAAAACTTCAAAAAACTCCCAGTAATAGCTACATAGAATTAGAAAAGAATTAGGCTTTAAGACACTGTCTGTTACCTTAATGCAAACACTGGACTAGAAAGAACATCTCCTGCATTGCTGTAGAAATTTGTTTCCTTCATGCAACAGGTAAAAACAAACACTAAGCTATTTTCTCTGTTCTATATAGAGTCTGCCTCTTAAAAAAAAGATTAGGCATGTAACAAACTCAGATGCAAGGTAATACCTGAAATTTTTTCCACATTAATATTTTTCCTGTAACCTTCATAAAGAAATGTGTACCTCCTTCCTTATACACTGCTGAGTGGTCAAAAGGAAGATTTTAATATTCAGCAAACATTCCAAACAGATGTATGACTTGACTTTTTACTGATTTAAAACGCACTGATGTACTTTAATTTTCTCCAACATTTATATATATATATATATTTTAAAAATAGCACACCAAAGATACCATCACTAGTACTCAAGCTAGCACTGAATGTTTCTGAAAATGTTAGAAGGCAAATTTTGTGGGAAATAGTTTTAAAATGGCACCCAATATTTTACTGAACACAATTCTTATCAGAGAAAATAAACACTGTCTATAAATGTATCGAGCACCAAAATTGAGACGGGTGGTTGACCTGTGCTCCATATGGCTATGGGTTTTTAAATTCTAAAAATTCTCATCTGCTCACTTGAAACAGTTAAACTTCTGTTTTTTCCACAAGGTAACACTTTCTGCTCTGATAAAATACAGACAGGATAATGATCTCCCACTGCTATATAAATGTTTAAGACATTTATAGAAAATAAACATTAAGGCAAAGCTGACATTTATTTTCAGAGGAGGAGATCATTATTCTTATCTGAGGGTCCATCTACATTCCATAAAACAATTGCAGTTTACAATTAAAAACAAATTTGGTGCAACAGCACCCAGCTTACGCCAACAAGTGCAGTAGAACAACAGTGGCTCATTACAGCATCGTTGATAAGGGAGTGGCTCAGGAAATAACACTTCTGGCATTTAGTCCACAAAATCCAGTTTTCATTTTAGTAAGAAACTGGATACGCTGATTTGTAACTTCCTGAAACTGTATCAAATAAGCATAACTAGAATAAAAGGAATAACTATCTAGTCGAGAACTAGAATCTGAGTTACTTACACCTGTTTAATTATGTACAGTCTTTTAAAAATCTTCTGGTCACTGTAGGACTGCATACCAACTGTGGTGTCTTGTTTGGGAAGAAGTCTGTTCCCTCAGCAATTCTTCTGTGATTACTGACTTGGTAACAGGTTGTTTTTGTTTTGTTTTGTTTTAAAGTGGCCTAGAATGAGGACTGTCCCCCAGCCCACCCCAACTCAGTGCTAAAAGGAATGAGGGATGTCCACTGTAAGTTTTCCCTATAGACATGGCCCAGGAGCATGAATGTGAAGTTTTTCTACTTCTGTATTTGCTTGGACATACATCTGTTCTGCAGAGCAGCTGCTTGATGATTTGTCAGAGCTACAAAATTCTTCTGAAAAGGGACTCTGGCAAACATTTATGTGTATGAATTGAGTTGCTCTTTGGACCGAGACTGGATATCCTGAAGCTCCTGTTCTTCTTTTGCTTTGATATCCTGGTAAGCCTGCATTTTGCTTGCATCCTTTAAGTAGGCCCAGTTAGAGGACAGTATCATGAGGAAGTGGATCTGGAAGAGAAGGGTGAGCATGATGGCTAGTGAGCATGTCAAGAGGCAAAGCAGGCAGCTAGTAAGATTAATAAAAAGGTTATGCTACAGGATTATTAAAATAGGCAGAGAAGCTTATTTTGAAAGTTCTCCAGAATTTTGCATGCTTCACTCTAGTAGCTGGCAAAGATTAGTAGGAAATAGGAACAAAAGCAGTTAATGCAAAAAGAACAGAAACTAAAAAGCTTTGAAAATACTTTGCAAGTTTACATGCTGAAGCCTAGAAGAGCAACTCAAAAGATAAAATTTGTGGTATAGTTCCTTCGCTTTGCTTTTTCTACCCACCCTCAGATTAAAGAAACTTGTACAGTAACCTCTTTCACTTGCTGTGTACTATATTTACTAGAGCAAAAATAAGAATATTACCATTTTTCAATATAAAAATGTTTGCCATTTGGCCAGTACTTGTGCTTTGAGTGTTGACTGATGAGAAATAAGTTACTAGCCCAAAGCCTTGATATCTGCTTTTTCTCATAAACTGAGAACCAAGAAAAGGAATCTGGCTGTGTGTTCCTGCCATAGCTAAAATTGGGCCTTTTTTTTCTGAATTGACAATTAACTGGAATGTTGTTTAATTGAAAATTTCGACGAATGAAAATATTTTTCCATAAACATGTCCCAAAGTATTTGACTAATAAAAGCTCCATCTATCAACTTTTGTTAGAGAGTTGGCCTTGATGGCAGAGGCCATCTTTTCTATTTCTGTTTTATACAGTGGAAATAAGATGTGAATGTACTATTTAGGAACAGCACTTGGCCAACATTTTAATTGGGTAGGCAGTAACCAAGAATCAAGCTTGTATCCTGTGTTTTCTCTATTGTAGAACAGATCCTTTATTATTTTTCAGATTAGTAAACAGCAGAGATAAAATAACTTATTATAGGCCCTTAATTGATCCAGTAATCATTTCAGAGATGATTGTTAAAAAAGCTTGATGTTAAATGAAAGCTCTCCTTCCTTTAAAAGGATGATTTACAACATCACTGAAAATAACTGAGTCCTCATAGTATAGAAAATAGCCAGATCTCATCCACAGTTATTCATATACAAGAAATAATTTGTATTAATCTAAAATGCTTAAAGATGTTTACTGATGCTATTTACAATTGACTGTAACAGACTTCAGAAAACTAGACTCTTAGTCTAGGGTGTCAGTGGTATTTCAAGCTACACAGTGCAGCTCTTTACTGGGCTTATGCAATTTAGAATTTAGTGCAGCAATCTTCCCGACTCTTAAACTTCAAAACAGCATAGTTATATGTGGTAGCCATCATGTAGATCAGCTGGTGGAAGAGAACAAAATACAGCATATAAGAGACAACAAATTCTTCAGGCCTTTTAGGCAGTTCTGTGTGTTAGAATCAAAATGAATACTGTGCCAGGTAAGGATTCCAATGAGAACTATGGCAAAAATGGCTGTCGCTCCTCTTTACATAAGCTGTGTAGGGTTATTGCTCATTGCTGCAGCAAAAAGGACATCAGTAAGCAGCATTTCATATGAATTTGGCTGGCATAAAATTAAAAGCTAGTTGCTGCAGCCATTTCTCAACTGTATTGGGTTTCACTGTTAATCCCCCTGTTTCTAATATGGCCAGCTTAAATAAGCTACTTTAACATGCTTTACTAATCCAGAGGAAAAAAGTAAATGTCATTCTCCTGAAAAGATATTTTAAAAAGTAAGACAGAAATATGAGGAAGTTCTGAAATGGCCTAATACTGGGAAATTCTACTGACTAAATGTTTCTACCAGAAAATACCAGCTGTCGGCCATGCAGCATGATGAAGTTAAACAAAAGAACAAAAACTACTACAAAGCTTGCTTTGATGCAAAGCTTTATTGGGAAATGTAAGGACTTGCCTGCTCTTTGGAATATCCTGAGAAAACTACAGCCAGGTGCCAACAAACACAAAAATTATTACTTTAAGTAATATTTGAATGGTTACATCTTTAAAAGGAATATATTGTTAATTTAGAAAAGAGTGGATGATGGTACTTACCAGTGCTATGACGGTAGCACCAGCTCCAGCACAGGCCACAATGAAAAGGTGGTAAGACAAATAGAACTACGATAAAGTAGAAAATACTCATTTAAGGGATTCCATGGAACATAACCCAAACCTTAATACAGTTCTTGAGAAGCTAGAACTATATTAAGGAAGGAGGAATGACAGATTTCATGAGCCGCTGCATCATCAAATACCTATTTTTGTTGGGACACACTGAAGACTGTGCCAGCCCAATTTAAGGTACTGCAAACTGACCCTATTCACAGCTGGGTTCCCACGTCTAAATGTGCCAATGATGTGATAGCATGGAAAAAGCCTAGCAAAAACCAGGTTATGCACACTGGATTCAATCCAGGTGGACATTCACTGACAACATCTCTGTCTGATTTTTCAGCATCTCCTTCTCCACTGCACTACAGACCACCCATTCAGAAAGACTCCTAGAATGTGTAGCATTTTCAGGGTACTAGAAAGCTTGCCAGGAGGAGTGGGGGAGAAGTCTTGCATCCACCAGCCTTGGTTGAAGCTGACTACATCTAGAGCCATTTCAAGGAGATTCAACCATCTCTGTACCTACTTGGTAGGGGAAAGAGTGAAGATGAAGTTAGTGGCTACTTTTATATAGCCTCCCAACCTGTTTCTGAGCAACACTCAAATTCTGGTCTTGTGTATTATGTCCTGCACCGGTTTGAGATCTCCCTATCTAAAAATACCTAGTGTACCTATCTGAGCCCTATGATCAATGGAGGCCATTCTGCAAATGCCTGCTCAGTCCGATGCATGGAGGAACAGCTGTAGAATACTTTTCCTAGAAAGACTTGCTTGGCACCTATATGGGTGTGTGTGTGGGCGGGGGTTGCATTAAGTGAAGTTTTCCCCCCTCCCCCAAGCTTTTTAAATCATTATCTTAACATTTTTAAAGCAGGGAACCTCTTTTGCCTGGCCATCTAGATGACATCAGATGTTGGACACCTTCCCTGACATCGTCTGGCTTGCCCTACCCATTTTTCCTTTGTCTTGCAGAGAGACAGCTGGCTCATGGAGGTATATCTTGTCAAAGCGCCAGCGTGCTATCTCAACTGGGTGGCAAGCAGCACAGGAAAGGAGGGGACTTAGCCGCTGATTGCAGGAGTATAAGCACTAGCTGAGTGCACAAAACTTAAGTGTGCAGCTCCACCCAAGAGAATCCTCTTCCATCTTAGCCCAGATTGGAAATAAAAGGATTCCATTTCCTTCCAGTTCTCCCCACCCCAACCCCCAAGGCAGGGTTTGCAAAATGGGAGGTGGTGCGGGGCAAAAAGTGTTCCCCGTTTCTGGGTAAGCTTTTGCTTTTTGTGATGGGATGTGTTTTAAGGCCTTACCAGATGGTTTCAGTTGTCTGATTAGGTCATTTTATTTCAGCCAACAGTAAGTTTACTTGGGTTATGGGCTGTGCTTTATTGCTTCTTGATATTACATGGATTTTATTTTTAAAGTATTAAATTATCACCCAGGTAACTTTGGTTGGGTGATTAACCAATAACAATCACTCAGTTAATACAATGATGTGCATCTGGAAGGCAGTACTATAAGACAAACATGCTCAGTTTCTCTAGAATGAGTGTTTCATTACTTACACACATCAAACTTAAACTAATTGCTTAAGTGAGTGATGCTGCTAACTCAACATGAACTTCCAACCATACAAATGAAACACGGCATCTTTTCAGAGCTCCACTTTCGTTTCTGCATTTATTGAATGCAAGTGATGTCTTAATACTGGTTGATTGCTGGCTTGTCGGTAGAACTGACTTTCCCAGTAACACTACATATCCCATAGGCGATCTTGATAAATCTCTTAGAGGTAAAGGCCTTCTCACTCCTGCTCTGCTATATATTTCACATGGATAGGAAAAACTCACTGTTAGCAGGCCATGGGCTAAGTCTTACATTCTAGTTGTCGAAATATCAAAGAAAGCCCTGGAAATGAAATTCCCCTTTACCTCAGGTGTGTTGCACATTTCTGCTAAGGCTGATCCACAAGCCTTGCCAGGTACAGCATTCCAAGGGATGATTCCTGAAGTTAAAATATAAGGGGAAAAAAAGATGATGCTGTTCGCTGACATAGCTGACATCATTCTCCCTTCCTGCAATCTATTTCCCTTTCCCACCTACATGCAAGTTGTGTTCCTTTACCATGCACCCACACGTTGACCAGTTCAATCTGGAGCTGGCATTAGCAAGTACAAAATAATTTTAAGTGTGTTCTCTTCCGACATCCAGGATAAATTTTCCTTGCCAAGAGATGTTCTCGGATCTAGGGTTTCCATATGGCGGACAAATTGTTGTTTCAGTCGCTACGGACACTGTCATATGTTGTGCTTAATGCCAGCAGTGCTGAAAAAGGTGTTTCAGAATTTGCCTAAAGTTAAGAAAGCTGAAGTTGCAATTACGACCAATTACAAGAACACAAGTCAGATATGTCCCTTCTCAACTTACATGAGTTATTCTCTTTCTCCTGTGTCACCCTTTTCAGCATGCGACCGGTGCTGCTCAGTGTATTCCAAAGTAAGACTTTTAGCAGCAGCAATCTTCTCAGGGCTTTTAGAAAGATACTGTAGCTTTGTGCATATTCTGATACAATTTATTTATTAGACATTTGCTGGTATACTATGAACTCCATGACTTCTGAGAAACCAGATGTTAATTCATGCTTTCAAACCACACACAATTTTTTGTCCTGAATAACTGAAGGAATATTTATAAACCCGCCTGAACAATATAACTCTAATCTTCTGTATCGGATACAATTTCCCATTTCTGGAGTTACCACTTTGTCTAATTTGATTATTTCCCAGCAGAATGAAATGAAGCATCCTGGAGGAAGCATGGCCAACTCTCTGGAGCAGTGAAAAGGAGCAGATTGCAACTTTTTTTCAGATTCCATTTGTTAATTTTTATAGCCCTTTTCATGCATCAATATCTTCACCTTCACAATAATTACAGACTATCCACATGCACCGAGCTTTCAGCTAGACTTTCCCAAATGTTCAAGACCTTGCATGGCTGATTTTTGGTGAAATGACTGTTTGCTTGTGAATCCACAGAGATAGGTCATATCTCATAATTTATGATACTGAGGAAAGATCTCTGTTTCCACCTCTATTTGAAAAGTGCATACCTTTCTCCATCCCAAAATGTTTTGCACATTTCCCTCATTTTAATATGTTCTCCAAAATAAAAATATGATTGTTTCTGAAAAATACTGGAAATCTCTATTGATACTAGAAAGTGCCCAGCCCTTATGACCTCAGAGATACTAAAAAGCTTAGGTACTGAAGAAGACATAAAAATCAGCTGGCAGCTGGGTGGAACTTCCAGCTGCCAACAGACTGAACTTTAGTAATGTGTTCACTTCCCTTCCCTCATGTAATCCCTTCTGCCTTGGTAGTGATCAGTCCCACCACTGTTCCTGTCCCTGACAAAATGTACAGAGAGGGAACTGACCATTAATTATATAAAGATCAGAATAATCTGTGCAATATCTGATCTGAACTTCTGTGACTGTGAGGGATAATTTTTTTATCTATTTCCTCACGTATTCTTTATGGCTTTAATTCTGCCTTTATTGTCCATTAGTAAATACAATGTTCAAAATGAAACTTGTGTGCACAACCATGTACATAATTCAGTTATGTAAATTACTAAATTATGTAACAGTAAGAATATGCTGATATGTAGCTAAAGGTTTTATTTCGGTGTACTGGTTTGAGATAATTTTTCGCTATTTGGTGATGGGGTCAGGCTTGCCTAAGCAGTTTAGGTTGCTGATTGTTTTATTATTAAGCCTGATACCGTAATGCGGATAACTGCCACAAAATCACTTTAAATAAATGACTTGCCAAATACTGTTAAACTGGATGCATCTGGAAAGAGGTCAGTGTAATCTGCATTAATTGAAAAAGTAAATGACATGTTCAGAGACTCCACACTTGGTTGCTTTTCAGTTCATCTCATAAGGCTAAGACTACCCTCTTGAAGATAGGCCAAGGAAAGAGGATAAGCATTTAATCAGGATTAAAATGAGTACCGTATTGCCTGATATCCACACAGATCTGGTCTGCTGAAGTTGTCATATTTGCTGGGAGTGATTTGAGGACTTCACAAGTTGACCATATATTATAGAACATAAAGACTGGCACAGCAGAGAAGCCGAAGACACCAAGCCAAGCTATCCCGAGCACATAGGTGAGGAAAACAAACTGTGAAGAAGAGACAGGCATAGATTTCACAGAGAGATCCTATTTTTCAGTCATTCCAGTAACTTCAGGAAGTTGGAAGTTACTCCTTGAAAGTAACACACGTGCAATTCTAGAACTTAAAATCCGAGAAAGGGGAACAGTTTGGATCTTTTCTTCCTTCCCTAGGCACAGCTGTGATAATAAATGTGTGTCACATCATTATAAACCTTTGCTCACCTACATATAATTAGCAATATTGATTTACTAAACTGTAATAATCACTCCTGGAGGATTTATTAAGGAGACCCTGATTTCAGCTTGAAAGTCTAAAAAGTGTCCTGAAGCATTAGCTACAAATTGGCTCTTCACAAAGCTTGTAACTGTTAGCTACACATAGTCACTAAATAGGTAGATTTTAAGTTGCTTCAACAAGGCAGATTTCCTCTTAAGGAAGTGAAAGAAGGTAGTAGAGGACCCTTCTATCCCCCTTATAGGAAAGAAATCTGGATAAGTATCACAATGAATTAAGAGAATGGTAGGTATCAACAGGTGAAGTCTACACACCTTTGCTTACCTTTTACTGGTATAACTAAATGTAAATGGAAGTTAGACAGCTGATTAACTTAATCACATACACATATGGACAGTCAAAAAGGTAAGTTGACTATAGAAAAAACAATAGACAAAAACATGCAATAGATCTGTTCCACGATGATGATAAATGATGTCCCTCTATTAAAGACAATCTGGTGATTTGCAACTATGGTTTACTTAAAAGTTGCAATTCCTTGGAAGAATACATTTAGGAAAGGTTTAAAAATTTCCTTTGTTTGTTTGTTTATGAAATTTGTATGCCGTCCAATTACAAATGTCTCTGGACGACTAACAGCATAAATAAATTGATATATGTTTTATAAGCTAGGTAGGGAATAGCAAATATCTGCCTGACTTCAACTGAAATACAAAGGAACAGTTTGTACATGAAGCGCATGAAGAAATCATGGAAGGAAAGGTCAACAGCTGAGCACAGGCTTCCATGGACAGGATTCGGCATCTCTTGGCATGGCTGGGAAAAACTTTGAAGAACTATTGCCTGTCAGTGCATACCCTGGTTGGGCAATTTTTCTGCCCTACATGTATTTTGGTTCCCAGTTTCCATCATCCCCCACAATGGGCCGTGCTGGCTAGAACTGATTGGAGTTGTAGCCAAAACATCCAGAGAGCCACAAGTTGCTCATTCCTGGTATGAAGGCAGTATTGAACTAATGGGCCATTGGTCATGACTCATGTTTATATACAAGGGAGAAAAATGCTTTAGGTATTCTAAATACTAAATGGTACTGTCACAACTAATAAATAATTGTAATTGTTTTAATGACTGAAAATAAACAAGATAAGCTTTTAATTCCCTGCAGAATAAATACACTTCGAAAGATCCCATTAGAAAAGCAAGCCAACAAGCCAAACAATACACATATTTGTATGCACATATGCCTGCATATATAAATAGGACCAGAGGGACAGGAAGGAAAGGCGGTCCTGGAAGGAGTCAGGGTATGGGGATGATTATCCCTTCACAGCTTCCTTCCCTGGACAAACTGCAGCTTCGGGAGTTTTCTTTTTTGTTAATCTGTTCCACCAGCCCCTCACTTCACACAGTTTGAAAAGGCCCAAGTGTGCAAATAGTAATGCCTTTCAACGTAGTTACAAACTGGAGCTCTCCAGATGTGCAGAATGCAACTTCCATCAGCCCCAGCCGGCATGGTCAGTGGTCAAATTGTGGAGGGCACCAGTTTGCCTACACCTGTACAACTGTTCTGAGTTTAAGATGATTTGATTAATTTAGATGAACAGCTTAGGGACATTAACATGTGATGGGAACATGACCCAGACATAAGGGATCATTAACATATTATTTTGCAATTGTATTGTCAAAATCATGAAAAATCCCCTCCCCCCCAGCAATTTCTCTCACTGTATCTGAAAATAAGGTATTTCCTATTACCACAACATCCAAAATACAACACAGGTTGACCTAAATTGAAATTTCACAAGCTAGCATGCGTAGATACTAAACAACCCCATCTCTATAAATTGTATTCTAATGTGACTTGGAAACTCAAAAAATGTATGATTCAAGATTGCCAAAACAATCATTTTGAATGATATGAAATAGTTTTGAAGTAGTGTATACAACACATGCTAGGAAAAGAAGAAGGCAGAAGAAGAGGAAGACCAAATAGGTGATGGGCTGGTACCATAAAGGAAGCCACATCCTCAGGTTTAGAACAGCCAAGCAGGTCTGTGAAGGACGGGACATTTTGGACGGTTTCAGCCACTGGGTTGCCATAGACGGACAACTTCTTGACATATCACACCAACACAGCAGAACAAATAATATGGAAAATTAATCAAATGGGAAATTGTAAATGTTGGCTCTGTCACACACACACACACACACACACACGATTTTGAACCCTATATAATGGTGTTGCAAAAAAAAAAAATTTCCATTTTAGAAAATGGAATTCATGTTATGAGATATTCCAGTTGCAGTCACCATTACACCCCATAATATGTCTTCTCAGTTATGTTAAGCACACTGTATCTAGAAAATATCAGAAAAGTATGTTATATTGTTGGCAAAGTACTAGAAGACAACCCCCCAACCCCCCCACCCCAACCCAAGTGGAATGGTTCAATAAGATTTGGGAACATTAACCTGGAATAAAATATAATTCTACAAACCTCAACTAACCCTTAACCTAAAAGTTAAAATGTAACAAGTTCAGAACTTGGCAGGTGTTCTTTTAATTTTACAGCCCAATCAGGAATTCAGTTTAAGATCACTCATTCCTAAATATTAAGTTTTAACAACCCAATGACTGCTGATTACATGCTAGGTTGCAACTTTTAAACTTTAACATTTGCAGATTTTTAGCTGTACTGAGGACTTACAGGAATTCTGACAGGTTGTTTGATTTCAGTTCACATCCCAAGTTTAAAAATTAAATAATGGCAAGCCTAGCAAACGGCATCTAGGCAGCTGCCGTCAGTCTCTCAAAGAGAGAATCCTACTGCTGTGCCAATATCCTGGATGAATGTAGGAAGTGAGTGGCAAGAGAGAACCCTCTGAGCCGGTCAGCTGCTTCCTTGCCTAGTAAGAAGCCAAGATGAGCTGCTATGTTTCTAGTAGAAAAAGACTCATTCTCCCCTTTGCTCATTATTGTACTATGCTGACAAACACTTGATCCTCCCTAGTTAGATGGCAAGGAAAGACACTCAAGGGAGGAACACGTGTATCCTGGGGCTATAGAATTACAAGGTATGAGTTGGGGGAAGGGATAAGAGGACAAGAACAGAGCTGTGGCAGATGGTGTGTCGATGAAGCAGATTGCAGTGCTTAGAGAAGCATGAAGGACATGCAGAATTGGGGGTGGGGACAGCATGGGCCAGTGCAGGAAAAAGCTGCGGTATTTGAGGTCCGGGAAAAGTAGAAATGCTTGCCAGGGTATTGCAATATAACGATGCCGTCTGTTTAAATAATAAGCATGATGTGGTAATAGGTCAGGTGGAAAAGAGCCATTTCTAAAGCTTGGCTCCCATTGTTGAAAAACTGGCTGAAGTAATCATGGAATGAAGAATAGCAGATTTGTGTTTTTGTGTTGGGAAATAACAACTGATCAGCACGTGAATTGCATAACTTTTCGCCCAAGTGTAAAACAAAGGACTTGGCTATTACCAAAATGACGGAAAGGCATACCAAGATATTAAGAACATAAACACAGAAGGCATGCTGGACCAGACCAATGGTCCATTCAGTCCAGCATTCTGCATGGGTCCCTCAAGCAGGACTGGTACAAGAGTTCTGCTGGTCCAGGCTTCTCAGCAACAGATGTACAGAGGCAGCACACAGCCAGCAAGGCTAATAATAGCCACTTCGGGCCTCCTCCTCCTTCATGAGTATGTCCAATCACATTTTGAAGCCATTCAAATCGGTCACTGTCACTACTTCCTGTGGCAGTGAATTCCATAACGTAACCTCCTCTGTGAAGAAGTGCTTCCTTTTTATCTTTTCTCACTGTCGGAGCAATACAACAGTGGAACCAGCTGCCTAGGGAGGTGGTGGGATCTCCCACACTACAGACATTCAAGGTGAAACTGGTCATCTGAGTGGGATGGTATCCTACAGCAGCAGGGGGTTGGACCCAATGGCCTTCATGGCCCCTTCCAACTCTACTATTCTACCATTCTATATTATCTGCCAATGATCAGCTTCATGGGATGACCCTGAACTCTAGTATTATGGGAGAGGAAGAAATTTATCTTCCTCTACACCATGCATCATTTTAAACAGCTCTGTCATTTACCCCTTACTCATCGTTTTTTCTAACCTAAACAATACCAGTTGTTGTAACCCTTCCTCACAGGAGAATTGCTCCATTCATTCATTTCAGTTGCCCTTCTCTGCACATTTTCCAACTCAGTAATGTCCTTTTTCAGGTGTGGAAACCAAAACTGTACACAACACTGAAGTGCACTTACATTAAAGATTTGTATAAAGGGGTTAGGGACTTGGCACTTTCATTTATTTATTAAATTTATATCTCACTTTTCAAAGTGGCTAACATCACTCTCCTGCTGCTCTCAATCTTAACCCCACAACAGCAACCCTGTGAGGTAGGTTGGGCTGAGAGTCTGACTGGCCCAAAGTCACCCATTTGCCTTCTTTACCTCAAATCCTATCAGCCTGCACTTGCAGTTGAGATTTTTTTTTTAACCCAACTTGCACTGACTCTACACTTGCTTACACGGAACTGCATTTGGTGTTTTGAAGCCCATTCTCCCAGCGCGGACAGAATAATCACAATCCCTTTGCATTTTCCCCATCCTAAAAAGCTTGGTGTCATCAGCAGACTTAGCCACTTTGCTCTTTATTCCAGATCATTTATGGCTAGATTGTATTGGTCCTCATACAGAACCCTATGGGACCCCACTAGTTACATCCCTGCATTGGGAGAAATTAATGCTTATTCCCACTCTGCTTTCTGTTCTTCATCCACTTACTGATCCATGAGAACTTCTCCCCCCACCTCCAGCCTTTAATTCCATGATTGCTAAGTTTGCTCAGAAGTCAAAGTAAGTGACCCTGTCAAAAGCCTTTTGGAAGTCCAAGTAACCAATGCTATATATATTTGCACTGATTAAATTGAACCCATTTGCTTATAACTTCAAGAATTTCATGGAAGACTAATCTAAAGTGTAACAGCTGAAGTTAAAGACCAATTCTCAACCTTCTCTTTATGGCAGCACCCATATAAAAATGCCTTCTTTTTCAAGTGGATTATCACGGACTCGTCCTGTAGTGTTACTCTGCATCAAGAAGGCATATCCAAATGCAGTATGGTTTGTGATGAGCCCAGCTACTAAAACAAAAGTCTACAGTAACTGCAGAATGTTATCTCACAATGGAAAAGTTGTGCATCACCTTCCAAATTCAATTTATTAGCTGAACGCATAAACAGGAAACCACTGTCCGCTTTTCTAGGAGTGTAATCTGTAGAGCTCCATCACACTCACCATTCCACTGATGCATCGACCACAGATGGTCGTCTTAAATTCACCATGCAGCTCCTTCACAGCACTTGTTGTATAAAAGCCCTCCGCCAGAAGAATAATTCCATATAAGAAAAAAAATGATGCGATTCCATAGATCACATACTGCATTAGTTTTATTCTAAAAAGGAAACAAGCAGAACAGTTAAACTTTGCCATGTAAAATACACTCTCTTTCGTAACCTTACAGAAAGGTGAACCAGTAACAAAAGGGCAGAGTGAACCTCTTACCAGTAACTTCATAGACAGGGTGGCATCATACTAAACATGTGGTGTTACTGATGAGCCTTTCTGCCTTGGGCCATAGTCGCATTTAGGTTGCATGTTTTGGACCCGGACAGGCTGTTTTGTATTGCACCTGTAGTGGTCAGACTCCTGAGATTGCCTTGGCCTGTGCATTCCGAACATCTCAGGTCATCATGCTGATTAAGAGTGCTTGATGGGAGAACTGAAGGCACAGTGTGATTCGATCTTTCTTTTTACTACATTTATATCTCACCCTTTTTCTTTTGCAAGGAACCCAGAGAGGCTTACATAAACCTCCTCTTCTCTCCACTTTTTCCTCACCCCACATTCTCACAACAGTCCTTTAAGATATGGCTTTTTAAAAATGTTCTTCACTGAACTGACCATTCTAAATCAGTATGTCATTTAAGCCAATGCATTAAGAACACCGATGTGCCCTTTCAGAAAACTTCATTTTTATGCACCACAGCAAAGGCCGGAGATTGTGAAGAATACAGAATGTTCAGAAAGCAAATCACATGAGACAAAGGCTGAAGGAATTATGTAGGACTAGCATACAGAAATGTAGGAGGGAAGGCCGTTAACAGTTTTCAAATATTTAAGAGCTTATAAAGAGGAAGAAGAAAGACAAACATTGTCCATATTGAAACACAGAAGGCGCAACATATTTAAGATTACAAAATACTGACTGGAGGTTAATTGTTAAAGAACAGGTCATCAACAGAAAATACTGGCTAGGAGAACTAGCACATCTCAGACATCAGCTATCTGATGTTAAATATGATTTATTTTATTGCAGGATAGTAAACTGAATTCATGGCCCATTTTGCATTTTCCATGTGTAATTCCACCTAAAGAATACTTTCATGATCACTTCAATTGCAATTGCTTAATGATAATTGTTATTATTTTGTCATTAGCTTTAGCAATATTTCTTTCCTGTGTACATCTACAGTATATTTTTAGTGGCCTGCAGTCTCCTGGTGACAACTTTTTTGCCTTCAGTTGCTAAGAAGCTGAGTTACTATGCATTCTTGGAGATTTATTGCTACTCTTGGTTTTCTTTTCTCTGTTGAATTAGACAAGACATTTGAAATGAATGCTGAATCTCAAACAGAGCAAACCCCACTCCTCCCCTTCCATCTCCCCCAAATTAACCATTTTTAAGATTCCCTAGAAATTCCTAAAGAGGTTTGCTTGAGTTGGATTGTTCAGATTTTATGCCCATTTTCACTTTTGCCAGCAGCTCTTACTTCCCTACTTGCAGAATTAACACTGACCGTTGTAACTTACAAATGAAACAAATGTGTAACTGAATTCGGAAAGCAGGAGCTGTGCTTCCATACTTACACTTCAGATAACAAAGCATGGTCCGTTGCATTTGTGGAAAAACTCTGCTCAAGAATAGAGATGGTCCCAGCTAGAGCCACATGGCCGCAGCCACAGAACAATGCTACCCCAGAGAAGCAGAGGATCGTTGCCACCAGCGAAGCATATGGAACTCCTCCAAGGCACTTAATGCAACATTCAAAGCAACCTAAGCAGAAGAGAAAAGGAAAACAAAGGCAACTTGATTTAAGTGCAAGAGCGAGTGATGAGGACCCCATAACTTGGTTGGTTTAACTGGCAAAGGGGAAAAGCCTTAACAATACAAATAAATAAAGTATAATTGTGTGTTCAAAGTCAATGGGCTACACTTCCTACTTTAGCCAAATTACTTCCCACTTTATATAAGTGACCACAAAGCGTAAGAGTGATGATGCTCCCAATTGCACAGGCTGGGTACTATTTGCACCAGATCCTCAATGAAATCTCCTGTACCCCCAGGCTTCTCCTGGGGTGGAGCCCTTCCAGAATACAAAGGGTTATAATGCAGGCAGAGGGCAGAGGAAGAAAAGCCAGTAACTGGATGCCCCAAATTGTTTGCGCAGAAGAGCCTTCTGCAAAGTCAGAACTGGATGCAAAGCAATGGCTGCACATAAAACAAGCTGATGAAAGATGCAGTAGAAAACAGCCTGTCTTTGATGAGATACAGCATTAACTTCTACTATAATGAACAAGCATGAAATAAAATCTTCTAAACAGATTCAGTGTGCCACACCAATCTTTTGTAATTCAAAATTTCCAGTTCGAATCATGTCTGAACTATCAATTCTGCCTCATGGTCTTAGGCAAGCCACTCTCACCCAGTAGCTTAGGAAACCTCTGTTCCTATTCGACAAGAGGGGGACAACTATGCTGGTATATCTCTGCAATGTTTTTATAAGAATTACTGAGATAAAATGTGTGTGAGGCCCGTTGAACACTAGAGAAGCACAATAAATAAAACCAAGGGCTCCTTCAAGAATCAAATTTGGATAGTGTACAGATGTGTCTAAATCCAGGAAATCTCTCTCAAGCTTGTTTATGAGTTTTATTCTTTTTATCAAATGCAGTCCACAAATTACAAAAAAGCAAGTAAAACAAGCAGATCTTCAAAGTCCTCTTGAAGACCTGCCAAGAAGGGGCCTGACAAGCTGATGCGCAAGGCCATTACTGAAACGTTCCTCATCCTTGCACTCACCAGCCTATCCGTTCCTTGGCAGCAGGTACTTCAGAACAGCCCCTGCTGATGACCTCAAAGTGTAGCACAGGATAAGGTAGTTCTTAACCATCCACCCACCCATTCTTCTTCTATATAACTTTATATAGGGCAACCACTGTTAAGATAACAAGTTTACAAGTGGCTCATGCAGAAAGGAATACTAAAAGTCCAGTTTGTTAACTAAATTAAATGCATTATTATTTCATTAGACATCACTGCAGTCCCTTTGCAGACATCACTGCAGTCTGCATATTTTGTTGTCCACACGTGTTCCTCTGGAAGTCTTGTATTTTAACAAGAAGGTGTGGGTAATAAAGAACTTTTGCTAGGTGTAAGGGAACTGGGTTTGGACTTGGCAGTAAAAGCTTTCTCATCATCCTTTTTCCTTCTCCTCTGCTGCTCATATGTTCACCGTGACTGGGTTCACACAACATGACAACCCTTTGCAGGTAATAGGCCTCAAGTGGATGGTCCTGTCATCCGAACTTGGACTATTTCCTTTACAGTGACTTGTTTGGGAGCAGCAAGCTACCTTGTCAACCCAGATGGGTTTCTGTGCTCTTAGCAGAGCAATTTCATTGTGAATTGTGGAGATCAGCTAGTAAGCTATTTGGTAAGAGTAGCAAAAACCTCTTGCTCCTCTTTGCAATCACACTCATAGCTGCCACAATGACAATGCACAAGTGGCATTTAGAAACTACTGTCACTGGTTCATCATATTCTTTTTTGTGCTTAATTTTTCCCCCCACGTGTGTATCTGAGTCTGAGGGGCTCTTTTACAGTTGCACAAGTGTGCACTGATATATGGAGTCCTGCCTGGTCTACAGTTTCAGCTGACAAATGCTAACATATTGACAAAGGCAGATTGCATAGATGCTAAAGAGTGAACAGTGTGCAGATGTCAGATGCCTAGTAGTTAGAAAGCACCAGCAATGGAGAAAAATGCTAGATTAGGTGCACCTAAAGTGGACAGGAGGGACATTAAAATCAATATAATTGACCTTGCCAATTTCTAGTGTCGAACTAGCATTTCTCAGTGCCCTCCATCTTTCTGACACTCCTCAGACCAGGCAAGCAACTGAAGAAGACATGTGTGTGTGTGATGAAGACATCTGTGCACATTTCTTTGGCCTGAAGAAGTAGAAGGCAAGCCAAATGCACTTTTTTATGCTCTGCGGAAGCAAAATGCTGGCACGGGGGTTATAATTGGCATGGGGATGAGGGGAAGCTAGATGGATTCTGCTGCTATGGTCACTGGGATAGTGGCTGGAAGATCAAGAGAGAACACAGTGTAAGAACAAAGCGTGGTGAGTTGGATTGTTTGTCAGGTACACCTTGGGTGGTTCCACAAAAACCCACATCACTCAGCTTCTTTGCAGGATAGGGTCCTGTATCATGTGAACCTTCCTAGTGGCCCCCTTTTTGCAGAAGAAGAGGAAGTTTGGTCTTGAACAGGTCCTTACATTGCCAAACTGCTTGACTGCTCAAGGCCACTTAACCAATAGCATAGTTTTGATGCTATTATGATTACAAATGGTTGGTGCTGGATGTTCAGAGTGTTGGAGAGAACTCACACTGGGGACATGACAGGGTCATTTAATTCACATTTGCGCAGAATAAATCAAGTTATTTGCCCCCCCCCCACCCTAGCGAAATTTGGTTTATTCTGAGCCAATCTCAGAGAACAGCAATGAGGGGTTTTCCATCACTAATTCTGAGAAATTGTACTTGCAAAACAGTAAAAACAATGCCTCACAATACTCAAACCCTTTGCCCTACATTATTAGCAATTGAATAAAAAAGTTTGGCACATGGATTATTTGCTACCCGACACATTTACACAGAAATTGAAACATATTACACACAGTTTCCATCACATACATTACTGTGATTGGGTACACCCATTCCAGCAGCGCCCATTTTTACATTTTATGGGATTTGTAATACATTCTGCGTTGCTAAAGAAGTTGGTGTTCTGCTCCAGGGCTGCAACACAGAGGACTCCCCCTCCCCCCTGCACACACACATTTGCTGCATTAGCACAGAACCATAGTGCAAAGCCAGGCAAACAGGAAGCATGAACAACAGATGCTAGCAGAGTCAGTGAGAGGAGAATATAGCTTCCATTCTGAGCACGGGAAAACTTTACCCTGAAAGTGAAAGGACAAATGGAATCAATAACTTTCTTTACCCCCCTGCTGAAATGGTGGAAAATGTTAAAAATTGAATTTGAAAGCACACTGGCAGTGTTCAACACTATTGTAACGTACCAGAGTAAAATAACTTAAGCTGTGCAGTACAGATACCCATCAATGCAACTGGCTTTCAATGGCCATTTTGTCTAAAGCATCACTAGAACCTTTTGTGCAGCTCAGCAGAATAAAAACAATTTTTTGTCCTCAGGCTTGTGAGCAGCAGTTACCATGGAAGCAGGTTAATAACAGCTCAATGATTTGCCCAGAGCTGATGGTAAACCTGGCTTCAGATTTAACACACTCGCAGAAGGAGGCCAGCTAAAAACAAGCACTGAGATTATTCTCTTGGGGATAAAGACTATAAAATGCATACCATTTTTTAAGGAACATGAATTCAAGAAAAAGAACAGGAACCAAGTTACATGGAAACTAGTGTGTACAGGATGCTTAAAACCTTCAGGCTACCCAATCCAGCCCAGACAATTCTTGTACATGGGGGGCCCATTAACTGAATAAAATTCATAGCCACAACTTGGGGACACACAGCAATCCTGTACCACAAATACACACTCATAAGATGAGCAAGGCAATAAAGCAATGAATATTCTGATATTATACCCATAATGGATATAAATACTATTATTCTGATGTCTATATCATCAACTATGTCATATAGATTTGTCTTTTCAGGTCTTCCAAGATACAGGGAAGAACCAAATCACACAGTCGTTTTGGTGTACTGTATCACTACAGATTGCTTGGCATGCCTACATGCTCTCTGACTGCTCACCCCTAGCAAAACCTTGAGTTATTCTCTTGACAGGGTCAAGAGATAGGAGCTTTGGCTACTAGGTGGCATAGAATATAATGAATATTTAATAATAAGAGCAACCAAAAGATCCTATAAAAGTCACTGCCTCATCAAAACAGTTGCATAAATGAGTTTCAGTCAATGGCTTTAGAGCCAAATAAAATTGTTTAGGAGTGGGTCGTATATCATCAACTGCAGGTGCAATGATCTTAATGGTGTCAGTATTCATAAAAGTTTAATCAAACCAGCAATGGAGGATCACTGTTTCACAATCTCAACGACTAGCAGAAATCTTCAGCTGACAATATATGAGTAAGGTATATTATTAAATTACGAGCAGATCTCCAAATACTGGGGAATGAAATTCTCTGTGGTCCATGACTTGACTCACTGATGCTGTTCTCCTTTGTCCCACGATTCTTGTACTTGAGAGATTGGCAGGCTCAATAGGCATCCCCTGAATGAGATGCAGAGCTGACCTTCTACTTGCATGTGTTCCCAACGGGGCTGCGAATCTGCTGCATCTATTTCTGGTTGTGTAGCAGAATTGATATTTGAGTACTACACAAGGAATGTTCCCTTTCCTGCTTTTCCACCAGTCCAAAACCAGCCCAATCCCACTTTCGGTCTTGACACCCTTGTTTGCTGTCCCAAATAATCACAATGTGACTATTTCAACCTAAGAAAGTCCAGCTGCAAACACTGAGCTAGATACTGTTCCAATTGATAAGTTAGTATCTTACATTCACTGTGCTATGAAATAGGTCTTAAGAAACATGATGGAATTAAGAAAATAGCTTGCTTGCAGTCAATACTGACTCCAATGCCAGCTTCAACTAACTAATGCAAGAAGCTAATCCCTTGTTTGACAGCAACACCAACACCAGCAGCAGCATAGTTTGAGCTACAATGTGAACATGAGACCACAAGAGCAGGTTTTAACCATC